ACTATCCCCATGCATCCACTTGGCGAAAACAAAAAGCTAATGTATTATTTTGTTATTGTTCTTTTTCAGTTCGGTTGGGAAATCTTTTCGGGTATCGATGAAATGACAGGCTAAGAAATAAATAAAGAAAGAATATCCAAAACCCCCTCAACTCAAACAAAGTCCTTTTGGGGTTGGTTTTTAGCCCTTGCAAAGAAGGTGACTCACGTAATACAAATCGTGGCCTCTTTGTCAAAACCCTTCCCAACTCCCTCTTGACACTCCCTCCATTATAAACCGCCAAAACTGGTCCTCACACCACGCTAGTGCATGCCCCTTCAAAAGCCCTTCTTTTTTTTTCCTTCATATAAATTCCAAAGTCATCACCCAATTCCTCTATCCAAATCTTTCTCTCTTCTCTCTCATGGCTTGTAATCTTTCTCGGAGGCAGGTTTGTGCATTATCATCTTTAGCTGAGGAAGCTTCTTGGTGCTGTGTTTTTGTGTTGGTAACCCTACTATTACTGAACTCTTTGAAGGAAACTTGTAAGAAAACAAATATTGATGAGGATGTCAAAGGGAGTCGGCTGTTGGACCGACCATGTGACGAATTCTATGTTGTTGGTGAAGGAGAAACCCTTCACTCCATCAGCGATAAGTGTGGTGATCCTTTTATAGTGGAGCATAACCCTCATATTCATAACCCAGATGATGTTTTCCCTGGACTTGTTATCAAGATCACTCCTGTCAAGTCTATATAGGAAGTCATTGAGTTAGCTTCGTTGTTTTCATTACATCATTTTATTTGAAAAAGGGACACTACTCTTTATTTGGCATACATCTAGACACAAGGGGAAAAAAGGGTTTTTCTTTTGTTTTTGTTCTAGTTTGTTTTTCCTGATCATCAATGGAACAGAAACAACTGATCACAGTTCCTTATATTCTATACATATGATCATGACCTATACTATGAATGTAGAAAACTATGTTGAAAGGCCCATCGTGAAACTTGAAAGAGGGCCTTCCTTTCGGTTAAGTTAATTAAATAAATCAAGATAATTAAGTGGGTGTTTGGTCCAAAAGTGCTTACCTATTGTAAAATAAAAAACAGACGTTTAACTCTCAAAATTTTAAAAATTTTAATTTATGTTAGAAGTAGATTTAGACAACTATAAATTAAGCTTTTTCAAGAATTCTTAATTTTAGTAAGATAATTTTTTACATTCTTACTTTACTCTTCAATAATTCACAAAATATAAGAGAGTGGTATTTTGTTATTTGATATTTCTTTTATTTGTCTTCAATGGAAATGACGACTTAACGATGGGATAACCATCAATTTATCATCAACATTAATTTTAAGAAGAGTAATAATTTTATAAATTGAAAGGGAATATATCTATTTAGCAATCTTGGATTTTGGTACACTGAGAACATTCCTCTTTATCTCAATTCAAAACAATGAAGTTGAGTGGCAAAAAAAATGCCAAAACGGGGTTTGATTTTTTTCAATTATTAAAAAAATGGAGGATCTTTGTAAGCCTGCGAAGATTGCAGTCGTACATTAATAAATGCCCATTTCAATGTTGGGTTCCTCTCAACCATGTTGGGCCTAAGCTCGACCCTGTGACTGAAACCCAAGTTCTTCGGCTCGGATTGTGGTATGCGAACTCTTTTGAGTTCCTTTTGAGTCAAGTTACAGCGGTTAAACCCAACTTGTTTAGCAGAAGTTTACTCTTGTGAATGAAGTCATTCGTTCTAAAATATCCTACTTGCCAACACGAATATTCATGCATATGCTTCCCTTCTGGACGACGATTCCAGGGTTAAAAGCGCAACAACGACAATTTTGACAAGGAAAAATTATGATAAAGAACTTGATTAGACTCACAAAGACAATATTTCCCTGTATGATTTTCATGGAGATGTTGGTTTAGTGGTCCATCAGGCATCAGGGATCAATGTCATTATTTTTCTCATTTTGTAGCTGCCAATCATGATTTAACGAAATCCCACAACTGATATCTGAAGGTGATAAAGAACTTTGTGGTACGACCCATGAGTGAATTATCTCCACAATGAGATATGAGAATTCGTGAAGTGAACTCAACCGCAGGCTTTCGACACTGCCAGGATGTCACCTTCTGGCTTGGCTTTACTGCTTTTATGGCCTAAATATGCTGCCCGATAAGCCGACAAATAGATATCTTTATCTTGGAGAATTGGACTTAAACTGCTTCAAGTTTATCTTAAAAATCACAAGTTTCATATTATTAATATTATTTTTCGGCAGATGCTCAATTAATCATGTCAGTGGAACCAAATAGAGTTAAGATAATTAAGTAGGCCAGCACTACTCCACTCATAAAACAAAGTGGAGGAGATGGGGGACGGGATGGTGGTGGGGTGGGTTCCGGATGTAGTTATGAAAATGCCAACCCAAGTTAGAAAGGTGATCACATGATGTTTTATTCACTAGGGTTACTTAAAGCAAAGTTATTCTCTCTCTGGCACAATTGTAGCAATTCTTATCGATTGAGCTTTAGCTCAATGGCATGAGGTTTGTTGCACTTGGGAGGTGGTCAAGATAAGTAAATGGGTTAAGAGGATTTCAAGAGTAGATTAGGAAATTAAAAAAAAGAAGGGTTAATTTCTTCTAGGTTCCAATATTCCTTCAAACATCACAAACCAAGAAGCTGTGGACGTCATACTTTTGTTTCTTCTAATCGGATATTCTTACAGACACCACATATTTTATATCTCACTCTTATTTTCTATCCGAATTTCTGACTACATCCTAGAAAATTTTTTTTTTTAAACTCACGATTTAGCCCAACAAGAGGGAATATTCAAGAAGAAATTGCAGAAAAAAGGGAGCCAGATTGAATTAAAATGGATACGATTCAAATGGAATATTCGATAGATTAATGGACCATATAGAAGAACAAGGTTTTTGTCATTCCTGAATGTATGTATGTCCAGCAGACAAAGACATGGCTACTTGACCTATCCTATATATCCCTAATGACCCCGAATTTTATTAAAACGACAGCTGCATTTATGTTTTCTTCTCCTTAGCAAATTAAGAAACTCAGATTCCTCCACACTGATGATATATTCAAAGATTTAAGGAAAGAGTTTACATCATTTACTTCGAAATTCAAATCCCTTTCTCATTTTCCCTATCATATTCATATAAACTTTGGAGAGTTCATGAAAATCATTCGCTGCTCTTATAAACGTTAGAAAAACGAAAAACCTAAGTCTTGTCAACATCATTTGCTGTAAAAATATATATGTTTGTGGTCGTCCTTGTCCATTGTCTGGTCTAAAGATAAATTCAAGTTGAAGTTGATGGATCACTCAATATAGTATGCATCTTTCCCGGTAACATAAATTTTTAAACTTTGAACTCCAAAAGTAGTACACTAGAGTCCCTTTTTTATGGTAGGTACATCATATTTTAAACTTTATACCAAGAAATATACTGTTGATATCCACCTTTCTAGATTTAACTTTTGAACTCCCTTGCAAACAAACTCAAATAATATAATTGTATATAAATTTTAAATATGATAAAATGATATAATATAATACATATATACGATGTAGGTTAAATATAAATAAATATATCAAAACACACGATTTCTCGTACGGTCTAACAGGTCTTGGTGTTAAAAGTTAGATACTCTCTAGATTTCAGTCATAAGTTAATCGTAAAAAAAGGTAATTTAATGGTGACCTTTCAATATTTTGAGGAGCCAGAGAGTTATCAACGTCCACGTGTTATCTGTTATCTCTCGTGATTGGTAACCATACCTAAACAGATATTCCTCGTCCTATTTGTTGTCAGGCTGCAGCACTATGTTAAATAAATGGAGATTTGACAGTGCTGCTAGCAACTCCACACCCCCATCCACTTCTTCTTAGCCATACCTCACTATTTTTGCTGCAGCTCTCATCCAGGTCCTGATAAGTTGCAACATTCAATCTTTGATCGATCAGGTGCTCACCAAAGAACTCGCTCGAAGAGATTAATTGTAAGTCAATTTGGCTGTTGTCTGTTGTCTGTTTCAACTGCTTTTCAACCTACATATCGTATGTGTATATATACATGCATGTAGATTAAATTACACATCCTTTGTTATATGATTGATGTAAATTACTTGTTAAGTTGCATGAAGTATATAACCTGGTAAGTTTGGGGTTTCGTGGAAGAGTAATTAAAATCTGACTTAAAAATTAAAATCTTCAATTTGGTTGTTAATTATTAAAGCTTAATTAGCATCAATGGCAAATGGAACATGCAGATAATGACTTCATGCTCTTATATATTTACTACTATACTAATTGTTTATACAATAATAAGCATCACTATAATCATAAATAAAGTAAAAAAATAAATTAATCTGTTTCCTTAAAAGAAAAAAAACTATAAAAAAAATCAAATCGATCTATTAATATTTTGAATATATATATATATATATATAAATATAGTTGGTGTGCTGCATGCAAAATGAAGCAGTTTGACTGAAATTTGCAAAGTTTAGTTTTGTTAATCGCTTGAACATTATTATATGCTCAACTCTTGGTTTGTATAACTTACCAATTTTGTTTCTAAATTGTGTTAAAAACGAGCCATATAACCTATATATATTTTTATATATATATGGGAAAAAAAAAATTTTCTTTTTCTTCCTTTTTTTTTTTTTTTTTGGCTTAACACTTGAAAGTTGAAACACCATATACAGACGCTTTAAACCACATATATTCAAGTAGGTCATGTTATTGTCAGAATTAACAGGAATACAAATTTTTTTAAAGTATAATAAAATATATGATAACTTATTAAATTTATTTATAAAATTAAAAAATTCAATTATTATTGTATCGAACATGAACTTTTATTTTAATAATAAATTTTTAGTTGTGTACGGAGTTAAGGTTAAGGGCTGATTTTGACTAGCTCCTAAGCCCAATTCAAACGCGGCCTGGCTCTAGTCTACAATTTCTTAACCCATGAACGTATATTAATTTTTTGGCCAGATTTAATATTATTTTATTTAAAAATTCAAAACGTCTGAAAAAAAAAAATGAAAAACGGAGTATCCGTGGAGTTGCGGTGCGTTACACAGGTTCAAAAGTGTCTTGGATGTCACGTGTTTGTTCCCTTACACTCGTTCTCCTAACTTGTTTTGCTCTTCTAACTAAAAGCCATAACTGCATTACAAATTTCGCGCGATTTTCATCACCCTTCCCACCTCACGCCTCTTCATTTATAGATTCTCATCATTCACTTCTGTCAGCCTTTTTTCGGTTATAGAATATTCTGATTCTCATAGACAAAACTTGTGAAATTCTAGCTTTCTTGTTAGTCCAATGAGTCTTTTGTTCGTACTTGAAATTCTTTGCTACCCTGTTTAGCCATTGTCATCTGCTTATACTCAACCCATATAGCCAACAAGTTCAGACCAAAGATGGTTTCTTGTTCCCTTTTGCTGATCTTTCTACGATCTTTAACCCCTTTATGTTTCTGGGTTTCTGTTTAAAGGTCCAATATCCCGCCAACCTCTCTTTTTTATTCTGGGATTTTCTTTATTTGGTTGATGTATCTTTCGGGGGTTTTAAGGATCCAAAATTCCTGATTTATAAAGAAAGTGTCTTTGGGTGTGAATTTTACATTTGTTAGTTAAGTTCATGTCTTTCCAATCATGGTTTCCACTAAAATGGAAATTTCTTCATTTATTCAGATTTGGGTTACTTGAGAAGATATTAAAGATTCATTGCTCCAAGAAATTTATATGGTACATTAGTTTTAGAACAGAGTGCCACATTGCATTTTCTGCTTTTCTTTGTTTGTAGTGAATTGGCTTTTGCCGGAAAGATGGTGGCCTTTGGGAAGAAGTTGAAAGAGTCGCAAATTCAAGACTGGCAAGGGTATGTATATACGCTTTGATTAGTAACTGAGTTAGTTTTGTAATTTCTTCAAATATCCCTAAAATGTGCTTATTTCCAGGTATTATATTAACTATAAGATGTTGAAGAAGAAAGTCAACAGATATGCTCAACAACTGGAGGTTGGAGCAGAAGATCACAGTTATGTTCTCAAGGACTTCTCAAGAATGTTAGACACTCAGGTACGCTTAGCAAATAGATGAATCTCATTTACATAATAAATAATGCAAAGACAAGCCTGTTACTACCTTTTTTTTTTGTAGAAAATAAATGCCCATTTTTTATCTGCTTGTTTGGACAATTTTTAGATTGAAAAGATTGTATTGTTTCTGCTGGAACAACAAGGACAACTTGCAAGCAGGTTATCTGAACTTCGAGAACAGCATGATGAAATTTTGCAGCAGCCAGATGGATCAAAAATATCCGAGTTACAAGAAGCATACAGAGGAGTAGGAAATGATCTTTTAAGGCTTCTCTTTTTTGTTGAGATGAATGCAACTGGCTTGCGAAAGATTTTGAAGAAGTTTGATAAGCGCTTTGGCTATAGATTCACTAATTACTATGTCAAAACCCGTGCAAATCATCCTTATTCTCAGCTGCGACAAGTATTTAGACATGTGGTAATGCATCTGATTTCAGAATCAATGTTCTCCTTGTTCCCCTTTTATTAAGCTTTTAATTTATTTTACAGAAATTTCTTAGTTGCAGTTTTTTTCCTTTGATACATGACATACAGATAATTATACAAGCATGAATCAGCTTCTATAGCCTCTTCATGTAAATGAAAGCTTTATCAGCTACTAGTTGACCATGCATGCAGGGTATTGGTGCTGTTGTTGGAGCCATATCTCGCAATCTTGCGGACCTGCAAGCCCATCAAGGGAACTACATATCGATATATGATCAGCCTGCTTTATCCCATCCGGTTTTTTCTTGGATCCTTTCACTATTTAGGCAGTGTTCGTTACTCTCTTTTTATCTTCTTCAACTTCTAAAATAATGGTGTTTAAGTTTTTTGTGTAGAAGTTCACAATGCATCATTATGTAAGAAACATCCTTTTCTTTGTGAACAATATACATATAAATGAAGCATATGATCTTAACTGATATTTTAGATTGGCTGCAGCTGCATATGTACTTTAAACAGATTATGAATTGGTCAACCTTAATTCTGATCCATTTCAAGAAATCAAATAAGAGCAATTTTTCAGCTCTTATCCTAAATGAAAATTTTAATTGAATGAGAGCCATTAATGAGCTGATAGAACTTCATTCAATTATTAGATGATGCATGCTTTTCAGTGATAAAGAATCAACAACCAATGCTTCTCCACAATTTCTAAAACAGAACTGTGGATTCTGGAACTAGACACTAAATTAGAAAGAAAATGTTTTCACATAACCTGTTAATCTTTTAATATTGTGATTACTGGCTTCTCAAATGACTTGTCTGACTAGCAACTAGAAACAATTAACTCTGTTTGATCATTTAACGACTCATATTCAGAAATAGTTATTTGAAATTCAAGGGCCTAGTTGGGTGTACAGTAGTTTAACTTTGATATTAGAATGATTTTCTTATGTCATGTTATTTTAACACGGTCTTCTCAGAAAAGTATTAATAAGGCAATTTTTCTGTTGTTACAGATTGTATTTCTGCATGTTTGTTTGTGTGCATCAAATTGATAAGTAAAACTGAAGGCTGTAAAACTTGCAGGACCCTGTGATTCATTCTATAAAAGCAGCCGTAAACAGATTGTCAAATTCAACAAATTTTTTCGAGTTTTTGGGGAAGCATGCATTTATCATGCAAGATGATTTACCAACTCCATCTGAAGATGATGGTGCAGAGCAGAGATATCATTTCATGTCGCTTCTCTTGAATTTGGTTAACACATTTCTATATATGGTCAATACATATATCATTGTCCCAACAGCAGATGACTACTCCCTTAGCCTTGGAGCTGCAGCAACTGTTTGTGGTGTTGTGATTGGTTCAATGGCTGTTGCACAAGTGTTCTCCTCAGTTTATTTTAGTGCATGGTCGAATAGATCATACTTGAGGCCACTTGTATTTAGCAGTGTTGTGCTTCTCATTGGAAACACCTTGTATGCTCTGGCTTATGATCTTAATTCAATAGCAGTACTTCTGGTCGGTCGACTATTTTGTGGGTAAGTTATCATTTCACTGGTTTAATGATATATATAGCAAGCCTATCTGAAAAGAAGTTCACTTCAATAGAAGTGCTACATGCCTTTTGTTCTTTTAAAATGATTCATCTTCATCACTATTACTATATTAATGAACAAGTTCATGCTGCCGACTTTTCCAGGTTAGGTTCTGCCAGAGCTGTAAACAGGCGTTATATCAGTGATTGTGTACCACACAAACTGCGGATGCAGGCATCTGCAGGCTTTGTTAGTGCAAGTGCCCTTGGAATGGCATGCGGTCCAGCTCTAGCTTCCTTATTTCAAACTGATTTTAAGATTTACAAGCTCACATTTAATCAGGACACTTTGCCTGGTTGGATTATGGTTCTTTCCTGGATTGTCTATTTGTTGTGGTTGTGGATTTCTTTTAGAGAGCCTCCTCAAGAGATCAAGGAGAACAGAACGCCACGGGAAGTTCATGCTGGTTGGTCAACAAGATTGAACACTTCTCTCATACATTTTGCACTAACTGTTCTTTTCTTGGCTCTTTCCTTCTTTGAGGTCTTTTTATGAGTCAGACTATTCTGGGTCCAAGATTTCCTACTTTGTAGCTTTGAACAATATCGTTCAACGATTTATTCAAGGAACCAACTTTGTCTGTTTTAGGATCATCGGTGAACTATACCGTAGAGAATGGTTTCACACGGCCACTGCTTTTGAACATGGAATCCAAACAACAAGGTCAAAATGAAGACCAAGAATATGATGATGGTGAGGAAGATTCTTGTGAGAAAGCTCACAAACCTGTCACTTCAATTGTCTCAGCATACAGGTTACTAACTCCATCTGTGAAGGTATGAATTTGATTCTTCATTTTCAATATGACTTGCATGAACTTCTATTTTCTAAGCTAACTTCAAATTGGTCCCTTCTTACTGAATTTGTGCTATTCTTTTTTAGGTTCAACTATTTGTTTATTTTATGCTTAAATATGCAATGGAGATATTGCTTGCTGAAGCAAGTGTCATCACTGCATATTACTTTATTTGGTCAACCAGCAGTGTGGCCATCTTTCTTGCATGTCTTGGGCTAACAGTACTTCCAGTAAACATCATTGTTGGAACCTACATCAGCAACATGTTTGAAGAAAGGTAACTTCAAAGATGAAATAAACATGATAATTCCAGCTTTAAAGTGCAACAGTTTTTCAAATGGTCTTAGTTTCAGTTATATTTAAAACTTTATATTAAAGGTGTCATCAAGCTCACTTGGTGTATAATGGTCAAAAATAAATTGTCAACGGTATTTCTGTTTCTGTTAATTTTAAGTAACAACAGCAAAAGCATAATAAGTGCAGCGGATAAACTGAAGCAGCAAGCTATGAACTCTAAAAATCTAGTTATGCTCTAAAACATAGTGTAGTGATCATAGTAGGATACTTTTAGCGCAGATTCGTTTACATCTACTCTCAAATGACATACATCTTATTTAACTTGAATGCAGGCAAGTTCTGCTGGCATCTGAAATCATGGTTTTGATTGGTATACTCCTAAGCTTCCATATCGGAATCCCTTACTCTGTACCTCAGTATGTTGGCTCAGCACTGATCACTTTTGTGTCTGCGGAAGTGCTTGAAGGTATTTTTTTGGGTTACTTTAATTACTTTTTGTGAACTAAACATTGCATTAACCAGTAGATTAGACAAGGATGATTGCTTCTACTTTCTGCTGGGGTCTGAAAATTGACCACTTAAATCTCAATAACCCCAGCTCTAGCAAAACTGATATATATATATATATATATTATATATATATATATATGCCATCCTATATTGCTCCTGCAAGGATGAGGCCAAACTGTGACATGGTTGTAGTTTAACTTCTATTAACGCTATAGCTTTTGCTTCCTAAATGTAATTTCTTGGGTTCTCTTCGATGATTAATCCAGGTGTGAACTTGTCACTCCTGTCCCGAGTTATGTCATCAAGGCTTTCTCGTGGAACTTACAATGGGGGCCTGCTTTCAACAGAAGCTGGAACCCTGGCTCGAGTAATTGCAGATGGAACAATAACACTATCTGGCTACTTGGGTGTGGGTAGGCTTTTGAACGTTACCTTAATTCCTTCACTATTCATCTGTATCACCTCCATTATTGCCACCTGCTTCACCTACAACTCCCTTTACTAACAACACTTTTCTTGTATGTAAAAATTTTGTAAAGTAGTATTACTCTAATCAACTGCCAATTATAAGACAATTAGATCAAATTTCTCCAGCTTCTAATCATTGCTTCTGTAAAACATTCAAAGCAGTCAACGGCTGTCACAATTGTGAAATTCCATTTATCAGCAAAGCAGTCGATCACTTGATAAAGGCATAAACAATATTATATGGTCCCTACATTGCATCTTCAAGATATGAAACAAATATATATGGTTTTGTTTGATAAATAAACAAAAGTTTATATATATATATATATATATGTATGTATAAGAAGCTAACCCAATGAATTTTTTAGTAGAATTTATGTAACAAATTTTTTATTTTTAAGGTGACAACAACCAACAAAATCACCTTAAAAAGCCTAATATAACCAATAATTCAACTCAATTAAAGCTATTTGGTTATAAAGATCTTACAAATTACAAACAAAACTTTGAAGATTGTTTGCTCATATATAATATAAACCATTTTCATTTTATGAACAAGAAGAAAAACCGTTTTCATTCGTGTTTCGATTCAACTTTCACTAAAAAGTACATTTTTTGCAAGAACTAAAATTTTCAAGATTGTAATTATCTCCTCAGTCGTGAATATAGTCTCTATCCCATTAAAATTTCAGTCATAAATTTAATTGAAACAATTGAACTGTATTGTTAATATTTGGAAGTAATGAGTTATTTTTCTAAAGAAAAAAGAAAACTCTGGACTGCGCACACTTGTCCTTAGTTTGGACGGAATTCCTGCGACTGACTTCACAAGCTCGATTTGTACTCTTGAATCCAAAAATAAAAAAGAAAAGAGGAAAAGCCTCCCGACAAATAAATCCGGTTCTCTTCCTCGGTGACAAAAAGAAGAAAGCAAAATCTTTTGTTAAAAAGAATGGCAGACAATCAAGATTTACCTGAGGCAACTGTTCAAAACATACTGGACCAAGAGAGCCTGAAGTGGGTTTTTGTTGGTGGCAAAGGAGGTGTGGGTAAGACCACTTGTAGTTCGATTATTTCGATCCTCTTGGCTCGGGTCCGATCCTCTGTCTTGATTATTTCCACGGATCCTGCTCATAATCTCAGCGATGCTTTTCAACAAAGATTCACAAAGACTCCCACTTTGGTCAATGGCTTCAACAATTTATACGCCATGGTACCCTTTTTATATTTTTCTTGATTTTTTTAATTTGATTTTGGCTTCTGGGTATCGGGGGATTTGGCTCCTGGTTATTTTTTTAGATTTGCATGGGGTGTTTTGTTGTAAATTCGGTGTTTTCTTTGGAATAAATTACGCAATGCTCAGTTATGTTTTGTATTTTGATTGTTGATTTGTGGAACCAGTCCATAAACTCTCCTGATTTTAACTTATTTCATCTGAAACGAATAACAATTATATCATGTGATTTTAATTGTAATTTAGTATCGGATTCGCCCTGTTTAATGCTTGGCTTCTCCATTAAGGATTAATTATTTGTTAGAACTTTTACAATATGATTTGTGGTGATTGTTCATTTGTCAATATTTTTACTCAATTTCTTTCTACATATGATGCATTATAGGAGGTGGATCCTACTGTGGAAAATGAAGATGTGGCTGGGCCTGAAGGAATGGATAATTTATTTTCGGAGTTGGCAAATGCAATTCCAGGAATTGATGAGGCAATGAGCTTTGCAGAGATGCTTAAGTAAGAATACTGCTCTCTTTGTCTTTGATATTTTATTGTGATAATTCATCTGGATGCATTAACTGTCCATTGCCTTTTTTCAGTTTTTTATTTATATGTTTGGAACGAGTTTAGGATTACTATGGTTGTTTTATTAGAAGCTTTCAACTTTCTCAATCAATATGTTCTTAATCTTTATGATTTTCAACCAAAAGCCTCAGAAAAGGGCATGGAGTATTTTTTATTTCTTGTTTAAGAAAGATTACAGTTCTGATGTGCCAATTGTGAGCATTCTCTGGATTTTAGCTTTGAAAGTTTTAATTCACATATTCAAGTATGGCCTAGGGTCCAGTAGAATATGATCAAATTGAAGACTTAGCTGTTTTGTACTATCTTTATTCACACTTTTCAATGGTTGATGATTCTAGGATTTGTTTGAAGAATATCCTTCTTTTTCAAATGTTTAAGGTTAATTATGATGGTTACTTTCTTTGTAAACTTTGTCTTGCATGCTCTTTGTCACCTTCTACTTGTGTTTTTTAGCTACCTTTTGATCTATTGTTGTCTGAATGTAATCCTTTCTTTTAGATTGGTGCAAACAATGGATTATTCTTGCATTGTATTTGATACTGCCCCAACCGGACATACACTTCGGCTTTTACAGTTTCCAGCTACCTTAGAGAAGGGACTTGCAAAAATGGTGTCATTGAAAAACAAATTTGGCGGCTTATTGAGTCAGGTATAACTTTATGTTTTAGTATGTCTTGTCACCTGATATTGCTCGGCTGGTCTTCAATAATTCTCTTTTAACAAAGGGCCTGCAGATAACAATATTTTGTATTAACCTGCAGCAGTATTTCTATTAAAACTGCTATTCTTTCTTGAATATCTTATATCAAGTGATCAGTTCTTTCAATCCTGTGTCCTATTTTGTCTTCAATATCATTCTTAAGGTTATATGGCATGGGTGTACTACATTCATTCTTTTCATGGTTAACATGTCAGCTCACAGGAGTTATCAATTGCTATTATTTCCTAGTTGGTTTTCTTTATGTTGTAGCTCATGAAGGTTGAAACTCATCATGGCAGATGACCCGTCTTTTTGGGGTTGATGATGAATTTGGGGAGGATGCACTTTTGGGGAGGCTTGAAAGCATGAAAGAGGTGATTGAACAAGTTAATATGCAGTTCAAAGACCCAGTAAGATATACCATTCTCTAGGCCTTTTCCCATACTTTTTTTTTCTAAAGTTTTTGATATGATGAAATATAACTGGAAAATTGACAACAATATGCTTGGGAGCCATCAGAGGCTGTACTTGCACTAAGCTTGGACCTTTTATTTTAGCATATTAGGAGCTTTTATAAATAATATAGTTCGTTTCCATGCTATCTGATTAGTGAAGTAGACTATACCATTGGGTTAAGTTTGGCCATCTATGATATACCACATATTAAAGTCTGTGTTGTTCATGATAAGTTAATATAATGTGATAATATTCTTTTGTTCCGAAGAAGAGATGGAAGGAGAAAACCTGTGCCTATGTGTGGAGATCTACTTGATACAATTCTCCTACTTGGTTTTCTCATTTCATGTTATAGATGTAGTGACGGATATTGTGCTAGATTTACAAATGTTAAAGCACTAAAACTTGGGAAGTGTGTCGAAAGCAATTTTTTCCCCTTTCATTTGAAGTTTCTGGCTTTTGCAACTTGCACATATTATTTACCATCTGGCTTTTTTATCCTATGTAAATAGAAGTTTCTTGAGGTGCCCATACTTTTAGTATAATGATATTTTCCTTTTGGCAGGACTTGACAACCTTTGTCTGTGTTTGCATTCCAGAGTTCCTCTCTCTCTATGAAACAGAGAGACTGGTCCAGGAACTCACCAAGTTTGAGATAGATACACATAATATTATCATTAACCAAGTAATTTTTGATGATGAAGGTATGGCTACTTTCTTGCTATGTCTATCATTTTCCTTTCCCCCATTGGAATTGTTGCTTAAATAAAATGCTTACCATCAATTGGCATGTGTTTTCATTTAAGATTTTCAGTCCAAGTTATTAAAAGCAAGAATGCGGATGCAACAAAAGTATCTTGATCAGTTTTACATGTTATATGATGACTTTTACATCACTAAGCTGCCACTGCTGCCAGAAGAGGTGGGTTCAAGGATACTTTATACGAACATTTTACTTGAACTATTTACTTTAACTATGCATAAGTTATAACATAAAATTCCTGTTATTTTGATTGATTTCCAAAACTTTTAGATAGAAGATCTTGCTATTTTTATTAGCACCTCCTGCATCCACAATGAAATGTTATTTTTCCCAAAATATTCCATGATTTGATTGTGAAATTTTGTGAGACATATTTTCTGCATCTCTGGGAGAATCCTTAATGTGTTATTTACCTATTAGGAGTCACTGATTTGATTGTTGTTTTTGTTCTTGCCTTGCTTCTTGTTTTCTCTAAGAAGCATTTCTGCATTTCTAAAACAGCCCTTGAGGATTAAACTCATTGTTAAATCTGAATTTTGTATCTAGGCATATGTTGGTATCATTTTCATTTCAACAGTCACAGCTCTTGATTAGCCTTTTATGGTTATAATAGGTTACCGGAGTTGAAGCTCTGAAAGCATTTTCAAGTCATTTTCTTTCTCCATATCAACCTTCCATCACTAGAGGAACAGTAGAAGAACTAGAGCGAAAAGTATCCACGTTAAAGCAACACTTATCAGTCGCTGAAGCTGAACTCGAGAAACTTCTAAAAGGAAATTAAACAGTCTGATTACCGTCTATGACTTCGGATGGCCTTTTTCCACTTGGCCATTCATTCTGGCCGCATATGATATTATTGTGCGGCATCCTCTCTCATTAGACCGAAAGAGAATTTAGCGTCTATTTTGTTGCTGCATGATGTTGCATAGCATGATTTATTTTAGAAAATTTTTTTACTTTCGCAATTGACCTGCATAAGCTGTTGCCATATTAATGTTATGAAGGCGTTCTTTTACCTTTTTTTTTAACGAGTGGCATCACTAAGCTTTTGACCATGGACAATTTCTGTTATCATAATAAATTTTCCTATTTCCATTTCCCTTTTGCATGGCAGTGGGGAACAAATTTGATATGCTTACAAGTAATAGATTATGTGTACAGATTCTTCTTGAACATCCTCTGTTGTGATTGAGTTTATTTCCTTGGTAACTGACTACTGAGATTGCTGTTGATGGCCCCTCACAAGCCACCAAATTACAAGTCAGTGAAAAGATCCATCGTGGATAGAAAAAAATTGACAAAATATCAAGGTTTAATAGTAGCCTGCACGTTGGCCGAGTTGGTCTAAGGTGCCAGAGTAAGATTCTAGTCTGAATCCCATACGAGGAATCCTGAGCAGTGAGCACTTAATAAACGAACTCTGAATACAATGAAATTAAAGATTTGGTTTTAATACTTCAACACCTGGCATAGAATTCCTATCAATAAAGTTCATATTTCGTTTTTTCTCTTGAAATGGAAAAACACATCCAAAGAACACTGCAAGGAGTTAGAACATACATGCACGCATTAACCCACAGAAATTGGCACATGACAATGATATGACATAATGAACATGAGAGTTAAACGCTAAAAATTTCATTGCATTTCCATATAACATCTTCAATAATGAAGTTCAACGGCAAAATCACCGTCAAACACTAATATGGTCCTCATCATGATTGTTTATAAGAGATATAGAAACTAACAATCACCTAGATGCTCATACTACCCACCATGCAAAGTTGAAATAAAAACTACAACATCCTTCTCTTCCAAGGTTGTATCAAGCTGGCCACTCAACTCCCAATCACAATCATTTACTAGAACAAGAACACCTGGTCTCCTGCACAAAACCAAACCTCCCATCAGTTAAATGGCAATCCTGATTCAATCTGTTGCTTGATTACAAATGAGTGTTAAGATCCTTAAAAACTTACACAGACTCCCCTTTCATGAACATTTCAGGTCTTTCCTTGATCAAATTGGTACGAACCCAGGACAGCAAATCTCTCATGGTTAACTGAGAAAGTACAAAACCAAACACAATATCATATTCCAATGAGTCAGCTTGGACATGCTAAATGAAAATCCTCATTACGATAAGCTGTTTACAGCATCATAAGTTTAAACAAAAATGCTTACCTTTTCTGCTCCTTTTGGCAGATCAACGTTCACATTATGAACTTTAACAGACTCACATAAAAGTTCTAAGCCTCCACTGCATCAAACAATGAATGTCAAAAAAATAAAAATTAATGCAAGAATAACTAAAATAGGTTTGGGTTATATGCTCGATAAAAACTTCATTATAAAAAACTGTAATACAGATAAGGGGCAAAAGATAGAAATTTGAACCAATCCCAAGATTGTTCCTATGTTTTAATTTTCGTTTCGTTTAATTGTAGCAAAAACAAGTGATCAACATTACCAGAAGCAGCGATTTTTTTTTTTCTAAAGGCAAAATCCTAAATAAGTACAAAAGATATTATGAAATTAAAAAATTTTAAGCAGTTTCAATCAAACCCAAAAATTGATAAATTTGATTGGAAATCTTACCCAAACTCAAGGGTCAATTGCATTTTGAACAAAATTTTGCAGATATTCAAAACCCCTAATCGGAATTTTGCGAAAGTGCCGCTTCGTATTCACGCAATCATCAGTTTTGATGTCGTTATTTTAGAGTATTAAATCTTCTGCTGCATTCTTTGGGCCGAAATACTACGCCAAAATCCAAATAATAGTAAACATATTTCGGTCCATTTCTTTTTGGGCCTTTCTACAATTGAGAAATTTCCCTTTTTTTCAATTAAGAGAGAGAGAGAGAGAGAGAGAGAGACGAATTTGTTATTTAAAAGAAAAGACTTCGAATTTACACATTGCAGTGAAATTTTTTTCATTTGATAAGTAGGATTAAAAGATTGTTACGTGTTTATTTTTTAATTCTTTTTTAATTTTTAAATATATTTTTAAAATATGTGTTATTTTATTAAATTTATTTGTGAAATTTGAAAATTATTAATAATGAATAAGATTTTTTTTTAATTTGTAGTATTTTCCTTTTTTTAAAAATTTCTTGAAATGTGTTTAAGATTTACATGACATTTAAAAAGATTGATTGTGAGATTCATATCCACCTTTAAAAAGTAAGATATTTTCTTTGAAATATCCTTTCTCTATACTTTCTTTTTATTTCGTTTTCAAACAATAAATGAAGCAATTACAAAACACATATGCCCTATCAAATAAATAAATAATAAAAATTTTAAGAAAAATTATTAAATATATTAATAATAAAAATTTTAAATTTTGTAAACGAATTAAAAACGTAATATATTTTTAAAATATATTTGAAAAATAAAAAAAATTAATTAAAAATAAATTATATATTAATCTCTTAATATTATTTATATAATTAAACAATAATATTAAAGAAGTAGTTTTTTTTGTAACCAAGATTGACAATGTACTTTGTTGTTTAGCCAATGACGAGATTGATGAATTTGGACAGTCAAGGACATATCGGGGTGCACACAGCCGGTATCCTGTCATGTCCCTGTTTCTGCTTTGCTGTGTTTCTCCTTTTAGATTTATGATTGTCTGCTTTTCATTGCCGCCGCTAAAATTCGTTATCTTCCCACATTAACTGGTTCATCATAGAAGACAGATCGAAACCGAATCCAATAATTTGACATCAGAAGAACCCCTATTTTAGTAAGTAACAAAAGAGGCACACCTCATAATCCTCACCCTCCCTGATTCACTTTTTCGAAACACCCTTTCCACCTCCAACATCTCGTAAACACTATTTCATTTTTTTCTCTGCAGAATCGAAATCTACGGTTGATTTACGAAAAAAGGGGTTCATTGATTGGTGTTTGCTAATCTGGTTTTCTTCCAAAATTCCAAAATTGGCAAAGATTGAGCATGAACTGGATTGGTAGATACTACACCAGCTAGGGCTTTGAATTATCTGATTTTTTATTTCTCAATAAAGTTTGTGAATCAATGGAGGCTTATAAGACATGGGTCAGGAGGAACAAAGACTACGTGCACTCCTTGGAGTCTCTTGCCAATGTAAGCCTTTTGTCATTTTATACCTTTTATAATTACATAAAAGTCAAGTTTCTGTTGTTTTAGAAGGCTAATTTGTTAGCTATTTATATGATTCTTGGTAAATGAAAATTATAAATTTGTTTTTTCTTTAATGTTTAGGTGCATTAAATTTATTGTTACAGCTTGTGTTTCCAAATATTAGTGATTCAGTCTGTCTTTCTCCGAAGTTTAGTTATTGCTTGATTAGTTTCAAGTGGTTGAGTTTCTGGGTTTCACTTGCGCTGGTCTAAATTCTGGCTGCTGCCTCTTCCATCTTTCCTAGAATGAAATGAAAAGTGAAGGCCATTCATTTGCAAAGTAAGATGAAATGAAAAGAAAAAAAAAAGATTGCCTTTTAAATGTGTTTTTTGAGATATTGGATCAGAAAACTCATTCAATGGAAAAAAACAAAATGAAAGGCTATTGTATTAGGAAGAAGATGATTATCTGCAATTTTGGAGTCTCCAGTTAGCTGAGTAGGTTTAATATTTGTTACCATTGTGGATATTATATATCCCTGTTAAGTTTTTTGTATTTGTGGACTATGACTATTTGGATTCATTGGTTTATTATTTTATGAATGAGCTTGGAAATGCAGGCAATAATTTTGTGAATGACTTTTGACCGTGTTTTGAAATTGGAGTATTGCTATCTTATGCTGTTAATTAAAACTGTTGTGCAGGGATTGACCTGGCTTCTTCCTGAACGGTTCTCCACTTCAGAGATAGGGCCAGAAGCAGGTTTTGTGAAACTTTGGTAACATTGGCTACTTCTTGATAGCTTAGAAACTGATAAGATTCCCCCCCCCTACTTGTCACTTGATTTAAAGTAATCATCCAATTGGTTGCTGCCAAAGTTGTGAATGAAATGAATTAACGCATTGAATTTGTATTTTCCGTATTTTTATTAGGCTCCAGTTAAATGTAACCCCTCCCCCTCCCCTGGTTTGTGCATGTCAAAGTAAAGAAGATAAAAAAAAAATTCTCTGTCTTAAGTTGTATTTTCTTTTTCATAGACAGTCGACAGTTTTTCCCTATTGAACAATTTTGTAAATTTGTGCAGTAACTGCAATTTTGGGCATCCTCACTGCTGTCAACGAGCATATAATCGATACTACCCCCAATGAGAGGCATACTGGTTCTGATGACCATTCATCATTCCCTTATGCATTGTGCATATCTGCACTAAAGGACTTGGAAACTTTGGTTGAAGTTGTCGCAGAGCAGTACTATGGTGATAAGAAATGGAATTTTATTGCTGTTACAGAAGCTATCAAGTAAGAAACATTCATTATCTGGCATATGACACTTTAAATCTTCACCTAGGCTTTTCTTTCTAATACATTGGTGTTATGCCTTTGCCTACTAATTTGGCACTTGATGTACATCAGGGTGATAGTTAGGTTAGTTTTATTCCAGAAAAGTGGATATAAAATGCTTCTGCATGGAGGAGAGACTCCAAATGTCGAAAAATATTCTGAAGATACAAGTTCACAACATAGAATTGGCAGCTTCCCGCAGCCTGAAGGCCATCATGGACCTGGTTGGTTACAAAATAGTCATGGGCAAAACCTTGGTTGGTTACAAAACAGTCACGGGCAAGACCCGTGGAATCTTGAAGGAAGGGCATTGTCTGCTTTGAGCAGATTTGGAGAGAATGCAAGGATGATATCTAACCCTGTATGGATGCAGAGAATTCAACAACAGCATGCAATTATGAATCCTCCAAGTGAATATTTCTTTAAATTTTCATGATTGGTTACTAGTTAAGGTGTATTCCTGGGAAAGTCTGCTAACTTTTTCAGTTTTTCCTTTTACAGCTTCAATTATTAAAAGGCCTACGTTATCCATGATTTTGTCTGAGAAGGGTGTTAATGGAGCTCTATTTGTTCTTGGGGAGGTCCTCTTTATTACAAGGCCACTTATTTATGTTTTGTTCATTAGAAGATATGGAGTTAGATCTTGGATTCCTTGGTTTCTTTCACTGGCTGTGGATTTTATTGGAATAGGCTTTCTATCACATGTTACAAAATCAGGGAAGAGTGAAAGAGAGCAACAGTTCCATCTTTCTGCCTCCGAAAAGGATGAGGTTAGAGTCGTTAGATATTTTCATATCACATCTGACTTACCAAACTTTGGCAAGAATATCTGCATATCTGTTTTGTGGAACAATATCCTTGCCTAATATCATTAAAGTAGAGCTTTTTGCTGATATCAAGTGCTTGATCCAGGTAAAAAGGCGGAAACTTTTGTGGGCACTTTACCTCATGAGAGAGCCATTCTTTAGCAAGTACACCAGGTAATTGATAAATTCATCACAAAGTTGCTTCCTGATTTACGCCGTTCTTTTGCCAATACCTTTCCAATTAGTTAGGGTTTTAAAAAAAATTAGTGTATATTTGGTCTTCAGGCAAAAACTTGAGAGCACTGAAAAGCTATTGGAGCCTGTTCCATTGTTTGGGACTCTAACAGGTGCATCGGACAAATTCTTTCCCCCGGAATATTTTGAATTTTATTGAAATCATGCCATGGTATATTATTGATCAAACTAATTTAGCTAGAAATTAATATCTTCTATTTATTTGGCAGCAAAAATTGTTGAGCTTGTAATTGGAGCTCAGACAAGGTACACGTACATGTCGGGATCTTAGAAGAGTGAAACTGGAAGAAATCATGTTTCAAGGCAATGGTGGTTTTTTTTGGTCGGATACATGCTTTTTGTTGCTCTAGTATTCTTTAACCAAGTTATAGATACATGTGACAACTGAAAATCAAATTTCTAGTTCCTTTCCATCTGTATCAATCATGAATTACAAAATTCAAGAATTCATAACTAAACAAAACCAGCCAAAAATGTAAGTCATAAATGTTGCAAGGTCATTTGTGCAAAGTAAATTTTAGCACTGTCGCAGAATTTATATGGGCTCAACTTGTTTTTGTATGGTATATATTTGTGCACGGATCCGACCCCTATCGGGCCCTAAAATTCTACCCAAGTTGGCTAATAAATATGAACATGAAATAACTTAGATTTTACTTTATTGCAATAAAAATCGTGTAGTGATATTTTAATGTCTACGTTGACAACACCCCAATTGGCACACCCCAAAGTCCATTCCATAAATAATTAAAATAATCTCCATGGCTAGACCCCATCTATCAGCCCCATCTGATCTGATTAAACCAAAGCATTTTAGCTAAGGTGAAAAAGAGAGAACTGGTCCAATCTATTAAGAGCTGAGGGGGTGGAGGTCCCATTGCCCCACCAGAAAGATGAACCTTCATATATACTACTATTAAATAATAAAAATGGCGTGTCTCCCATGTCATTGGTGGTTGTGGTAGGCAAAAACCCTCTTCTCTCTCTCTCTCTCTCTCGATGCAGCTGAAAAAAAAAAAATGTGGTGCAGTGGTGGGGTATATGTATGTGCACCGCACACATTGAGTCCACGTTTTTTAATTAATAAGAAAAAAAGGAACAAATGGAAAATGAGATCCCACCTAATATGGGTCCCCAGCCAAGAGAAAAACCGAAAGGGGACCGCTTTTAAATGGCACAGGCGGTACTGTGGCCATACCCCGTTGTGGCCTGCCCTACTACCCCAGCTCACCACCAGCACCACCATAGACGGGAATTGGGGATGAGCCTGGGTTTAGTTAGGGACCCATGGCTTATGGTGCCTGCTCCTTCACGAGACAGGTGAAAATGGTGGGATCCCACCACCTTCACTTGGTCCACCAGCAATTGTTTTGATAGGCCACATCTTTGGAAGAATCAACCCCCCCATCCCCCCATAGACTGAAGAGGCCTAAGTGGTCGGGTCCACTATAAGGCCGGATTAGTGGTGGCGCCATCAGATTTACAGATTGGCCTTTGGCCCCCACCTTAGACCTGTTGCCGTACACCACAGCCTGGTTGGACAGCTTTACAGGCGACAACTTACAACTGAGTCGCTCGAGGTGTAAGTCTCTATCTGTTAACGACACTGGCACAATGTTACTTACCATATATGCATGGATACTAATCCTTTTTACTTTCCAATTAATCCAAAAGGCATTCAAAAGTTCTTTTGAAAAAGTTGGTTGAGTAATAAAATAAGTTAGTAAAAGTTTTTACTTTAGTTCTCAATTTTTTAGTAAAAAAATTTTAATAACGGATTCATATAAATTTTTTTAAAGATGATATTTAATTTAAATTTTAAATTTTAATATTTATAATTTATTTTTTATTCTTAAATTATAATTTTTTGTAAAAAACTTTTACAAAAATAATTTTTTTATAATACAAAAAATTACCTTAAGATGTAAATATATATATACACACACACACGCATCTTTATATATAAAGCCCTAAAAAATAAAATTATAGCATAGGGCTTTGAAATGTAAAACAAATAAAATCATGTAGCATGATTAAAATGATAATTCAACTTGTTTTGGTAAGTTTTGATCTGATCTATAAGGATCTATTTTTTTTTTAAATTAAGTTTTGAGTCCTACAAGAGAATAATAAGAAAATTTTAATATTGGTTTTAGATAAATTTGTTTTGATCAACTTTATATATAAAATTATTTTTAATTATTTATTTAATTTTATATTTATATATATTTAATTTTATATTTAAATTAAAAATAATATTTATTAATTTTAGATTAAATCATATCAAATATAATTTTATATAATACCAAATTGAATCAAATATAAAAAATAAAAAATTATCAAATCAAATTTAAATTTAAATATTATATATATATAATTTTAAATAAGCAAAACTCTATCTTAAACCGATTTGATCGGACTCGATGTTATCCCTAAGCACGGCTCAGTAGTGACATACAAATGGCTGCAGTGCGCTTGGGCCGCCATTTACTCTTACGGTTCCGTTTTCTCCAGCGGTAGCCGGTACGTGTTGTTGTAATGGCAAATTAGGGCACAAGTAAGCATGCCCATTGCAGTGGCAGGACCCATTAGATAAGTCGTGGGCCATATTCTACTTTGTTAAAACACATTTATAACGTCAGCTTAATTTAACAAAAGTTGATTTTTCTGCATTAAAACCTTTTTTCTTTGGTTATAATGCTATTGTAACTTTTTGCGTGTGGTGCGGGTGTGGCTACGAGGAAAAAAGGGGACGATGCTCATGTGTAGGTGCATTTTGAGGACTCATGGACTTCCATTTGTCAAAGTTTTATGAAAATAAATTAAAATTATTAACTTTTATTTTTTAAAAATAATTATATAAATTAATTGTATTAAATATTATCGAATTTCATACTTTTGTATATTTGAATACAGTGTCCGTACTCAAATAATTCATACCTGAAAGGTTATTGGGCTTTTTTAGATTATTAAACTTTTTTCCATGCAATGATCTTACACATTTTCGTCCCATTCTGTTACTTTCAATTGACAAAATATAATAAAGATCTACCAATTTTTACACGTGAGGTCTATTAATTACATCATCTTTTAATCAAAAGGTTATGAAAATATTATGATTAAAAAACTAAAAAAAAAATTAACTGTTATATTTTTATTATATTTAAATAAGCAAACGATGGGATGGTAAAAAAAATTATTTAATGGAAATTACTGTTTATTTTTCAAAAATTATAGTTTAAATAATTGCTAGACATTTGACAACCAGCAAATTAAATGATTCAAAGGGGAAAATACACCACGCATTGCCCATATCTGTTCAAAACACAAAGCAATTCACCTAAAAGAATATGTAAACTACAATTAATCTATTGAAAGCTACATCATATGAAATGTGCATGTGTGGTTTTATCTTCAGCTTTGTATTTATGTGTACGAATCTCTAAGAAGGCACGTTTTCCTTTTCAATCACTTTCATTAATTCCATGACAATTATGACTTCATTAGCAATAAAATTAGCCCCTAAATTGTTAAGAGCACATGCTAATCGGTATCATTCCCTGCTAGAATGTGCTAGTTTAGTGTAAGCAGAGTCAGTTTCGACTGAACATTGGATGAGAAACGTTTTTGGTTTGCTTTTTCATGGTGGCCCTGGCAATTTGGAATGAGCCAATTTCCATGGTTTGTTTTGCTGGCCAAGACGCGCAAACACAAAGAATTTGTACTAATTTGGAGTTTTGGACTTTGGATGCATCACCAACTGTTACCCTACCGTTCAGATAATCTCATGATCCTGTGGGAATGGGACCCACCACGTGTCATCATCTAGTGGGTCCAACTCTTATTCCCTGATAGGTAGATAACCGTAGATTTTTCTCATCAAGATATTCAAGAAGTCTTCATTTTAATCGGATTAAAGTCCCCCTCTGTCTCTATATAAAACGGGTTTTTATCATTGGTTCGAACTTCGAACTAGTTAAAGTCAGCACAAAAGAACTTCCTTCTCAAAACCCATCGTTTTGTTTTTCCATTTCCTCCTCTTTATAAAATTCAAAGCTTTTTCAGTTTTTTTCTATTCTTCTTGTTTTGATGGCTGCAAATCATAAACAAAAAGTTGAAGAAGATGGAGATGCCAGAGCGGTTGATCTCAGCATCAACGGTGGTGGAGACGAGGCTACAGCGTCGAAGAATCCCAAAGAAGAGCCCGACACAAAGACAGCTATAGGCGTGATGCCCATGGCGGTGCACGTGGCGTCAGCTATTCCCATGCCTGTAGTAACGGCACCACCCGCTGCGCCGAAACGAGCGTCCACCAAGGATCGTCACACGAAAGTCGAGGGACGTGGTCGGAGGATTCGAATGCCTGCCACTTGTGCTGCTCGGATCTTTCAGCTGACACGAGAATTAGGTCACAAGTCGGATGGAGAAACTATTCGCTGGTTATTAGAGCACGCCGAACCGGCGATAATAGCGGCAACCGGAACCGGCACCGTTCCCGCCATCGCTATGTCGGTTAATGGGACCCTTAAAATCCCAACTACCACGAACGCTAACCCCGAACCCGGTGACCCAAGTAAAAAGAAGCGTAGACGACCCGCTAATAGCGAGTACGTTGATATAAACGACACCGTATCAGTTTCATCTGGTTTGGCCCCTGTAATTACTTCTCAACAACTGCAGCAGCAACAACGACAAGCTGTTTTGCCGCAAGGGTTGGTTCCGGTATGGGCAATACCTTCAAACAGCGTAGTTCCAGGGGCCTTTTTCGTGGTCCCACCTATGGCATCCATGGCTGGGCCTTCCACCCATCCTCATATATTCACATTTCCAGCCACTGCTACACCGTTAATTAACATTTCGGCTGGACCCATATCGTCGTTTGTATCCGCCATGCAACATGGTGTAAATATAGCAGCAGCAACGCCAGGTCAACTTCAAAGTAACATAGCAGTTACGAGTAGTACGCTTCCAGTTTCAAAGACGGTTAAAACGACGTCGGTTATGGCACCGAGTTCGAGCTCTGCCGCTTCTATTACAAGTAACAGTGCTACTACCACGACAACGACTCAGATGCTTAGAGACTTCTCGTTGGAGATTTACGATAAACAAGAGCTTCAGTTTATGACTCGATCTTCAAAGCATTGATTGAAAAACATAGCTAGACCCAAAAAAGGAAAGGAGTTTGTCTTACTATTTTTGGGTTCATGCACTTTCATTGGTGGATTGGTAGATGGTGTATCCGCCATGAACGAGCAAAGCTAAAGGAGGCTGGAGGTCCCTCTTCCAACCCAAGCGTAAGAGGGGAGAACGGGGAGCACGTGCCACGTGACGGCAGTTTTAAAGGTGTGCACGTGTAATGTGGGGTCGAATTAGGCGGAAGTAGGGTCCGCATATGTGGTGGGTCAACGCTCAACTAAAAAGTAGGAGGGGGCACTCCGTGGACCGTGCAATGCGAAGAGTAAAATTTTTCTTTTGGATGTTTTTTTTAAGTAAATCTTTTTCTAAATGAAGGGCCATGGGCCACCTCATCGCTCTTTCATGTGATGTGTGGCACGGGACCCAAAGGTGGGGAGAAAACCGGACCCTACGGGACCGTCTTTGCAGTGTTCCCAAGGTAGCCGCGTGGTGGTCCCTACGGTTGGTTCGGTGGTCCCATCGAGACGTTGTGGGCCGAAAGCTTAGTACCCCTGGACTGTTAACACGTGTCTGAAATACAGCTGTTGATGTAGGGACACTTTTTTCCCTTCTTTGAAACGTGGACCCTTTGTTGGTGGGGTCTACAAGATAACGTGATCTCGATGAAAAATGGACAAAGTTGATGAATGAAGATGATTCTGGCATCAGATGCTCTTCGCCTTCCCCTATATTTATTTTTGTCCAATTAATTTCCTTAATCATTCAATATTTGAGATTTAGTTTTTCTTTACAATTCATACAAATTAATTTCTTTTATTATACGATTCTATTCATCAGATAATCTCACTTCAATGGATAATTCTATTAACTCTATTCCATTAAGTAAATTGATAATTCTATTAATTTTATTTAATTAAATATACTGATGTGATTATTAATTTTGATGGTGTGACAATGTCTTCGTATATATAACTTTTTATTGAATCATTTATTGAAATGATGCTTGGTTTTTTATGCCACATGGTATATTATTGTTCCTTTAGGTCAATGTTACTTTTGATCTAAAGGGTAAACACTTAAAATCAAAAGAGTATGAAAATTTTATTGTCCATATTGAGATAATAGGAAGTGTTTATATTTGAAGAATGTGGTATTTAGATTTTGATGACTTTAGCTCTAGAATTGGGTTTGTTGCAAATGAAACCGGCTTAATCTAAGATGGCGAATCAAGTGTTTATATTTGAAGAATGTGGTATTTAGATTTTGATGACTTTAGCTCTAGAATTGGGTTTATTGCAAATGAAACCGGCTTAATCTAAGATGGCGAATCGATTTTCAAATAAAAAGTGATAAGTTAATGTAAACATATGTAATTGGATAAATTATTACGTAGATTGAATTAATATAAATTTTTAAAAATAAAATAAATTAAAATATTAATTAAGATCTAAACGATTATAATAATTTTAAATGAGTGATGAGTCAATCATTTAAAATAAACAATAATTATGGCCTTATGATCATAAAATGTTCTTAACAAATAATGTCCCTAACAAAATACATTGCAAGTGAACATTTCGGGTGGAAGTCCTCATGCTAATATTTCATCCAGAAGCTCCACAGCTTTAATAAATTCCACCTTGAAACATGGTTGCCTCTATCAAAATTATTTACGTGATAATATAAGGCTTACGATTATCTTTCAACAGTTGATTCAAAACTTTATAAGCTGAATCAAGTTTTCATCTATAACAAATACGCAACAACATCAGGTGAAAACCTCTGCTTCTAATCCTATCAAGCACTTTATTAGCAAAATCAAGCCGGTTCATCTCACAAAACCCACTAATCAATGCATCAGGCTACCCCATAATTATCCAAATTTACATAAACCCTGGTAGCTTTCTCAACATTCCTTCCATTATCTTTGTACAAAGAACAACATTAGGTCGCCTTTCTATTGTAACAAAATGATTATCTCGTACATGCATTTTACAAAACTCTTGACATTTTTTGTTGAATGATAAGGTAACAATTACTAAATCAAATTTAATGGTTAGCTTTACTTCTGATTCATGAATGATTTACAAAACTCTAATCCTATGCTTCCTAGTTTGCACCCACCTGACAATGAAAGCGATTGTGCACCACAGTTGGAATAATTACACATTTGGTAATTTTTTTAGTGGTTTATTCTATATTGCATTAGAAGATTATTGGAGGAACGTAAATCGATTGTTAAGAAACATAGAAAGAATATGTAATTAATGAATCCTATATCATGAAAATGAACAGTCAATTCCAAAAAAGTACTACAAAAATTTGTTAGAAATAGAAAATATAAATTGAATTTTAGATTTATAAATTTTTAGTGGATGAATGGATAAGGGTATCTACAATATATATCTAGTTGTGGATAGCAAGTGACATCTGCTCATCGCATATATTTATTCTTTCCAACTATTTTTTTTTTCTGTAGTGCCGGTTGCCACCAAAATCTTTGCTGCATTAGTCAGAAAAGAAAGAAAATTATTAATGAAAAAAAAGGAAGATTCCCTTGTTATTATTAATATAAAGTAGCAGTACGACATATTGATAAAATATTAAGGTATTAATGTAACCACCACCATTTAATTTTATCAATTTTAATTGAAAAAAAGGTCTTATTATGCCCTAAAAATCTAATATTATATATTTAGTCACTTAGTTTTCTTACCAACGAAGTAAGTTGTTGTCATTAAAATTTAAAAGCATGCGACGTCCAAAATACACAATTATATTAAAAATTTTGAAAAAATAAGAGAGAGAGAGAGAGAATTACAGATTCCATGTGATCATGATCAAAATGATCAACGGTATAAAAGAATAAAAAGAGGTGGGTCCCATGGGGATAAGGTGTGGGAACAAGCATAGGAGATAAAATGCACCCGTTCAGTCTCCCAAGTACTAGAGAGTCCCCACTATTTTGCATTTTTGGGCTGCATTCCACCAAACCCTGGGTCCACACTAGAAAGACAGTCTGGATTTCAACAAGGGATAGTCCACGTGAACGGTTGATATCGAAGTTTAATTTTCTCCGCGGTCCCACCCCATACGAAATTCCTCTGCCCCTTGTAGCCCTGTCGTATTTATTCTCAAAAACCAACTCATGGGCCATAGCCAATAGGCCCAACACCACCAAAGTAATAGTATAAACCAACTTGTTAAACCAATATAATGTATATTAGGCACAAAAAAATGCTAATAGAAAAACCTGAATAATTTTTGTTTGAAATATGAATATATACAAGCAGAAAGGATTGCTTTGATAATGTAATCTCAGGGAAAAAAACTTAAACATAGTAAAAACTGATCCGATCCAAAAAAATCCGACTATACATTAAAAATAGGCAGGGAAAAATCTGTGCATATAATGTACCATTTTTGTTCAAATTGTAAGATTTTCTTGTATGCCAAGAAATGAGCCGACTATGTTTCCTCCCACATCTGGGAAACTTTCACATCCCGTATGAGGCTTCACCTTACCCTTCCGGTCAACATCAACGGGGTACTTGAGCAAGTGTCCTCTCATTTCTGTTATTTCGTCCGCTGCGAATTGTTTCCAGTTTATCTCAGCCATTTGCTTAACCCGTCTTACACATTCGACACTCTCTGGTTGTTTGAAGCAGTCCTCAACAACCCCGAGATGTTCTGCCCATAATGACATTCTATATCCATAGATCTATCAAGCACATATTTGTGCAAGAAAGAGCAGAAAGTTAGACAATGTAGTACAGTGTACATCAGCTGATATACTTCTATCCAAATTTGCAATCCACATTATATTGCAATGGAAACATGAAACATATATGTTTGTATTCATAATCAATGTGATGTAATGATTGGTTACCTGTCCATGTGGATTGGAAAGTTTTTTAGCCCAGGTATGTTGAGGTTGGTAAGCTCCCATTGCAATCTCAGTGTCTCTGGTGCCCTCCATGGAGCGTTGGTTGATGTTTGCAGACCCCAGTATTACATACTCATCATCAACTATCATACCCTTTGAATGGACATAGATCATAAATCTTCGACTTTTCCGACTAAGAGCCTGGAATGCAGAAAAAGGGAGCACATATTAGCAGTGAAGGAACTTTAGGTTTATAAAAGAAAGGGATGAACTAGAATTTGAAAATTTGATAAACAGAATCTATCTTTTCAATATAGGTAATAGGATGCAAAAATCTTTTGACATTAAAAAAACAGAGAGAAGGACCTCTTCTCAGCTTAGAAGGTTTGCTTTGCTTTGCATTTTTCTTCTTGTTTCTTTTTTCATTTAAAGGAATTTGCCATGTTTAATAGAACAGCTAGTCTGGGCTCAAAAAAGCTTAGACTTAGTGGACGCTCCAATTAGGCTTGAGATTTTCAAGTAAAATGGGATTTTGATCTGTCATGTCCTTCACTCTCTTCAATCATGGCTCTAATCCACCTTGGGACCTCAGGCAAAGCTTTGGGTAAGGTTTGAGGCCTTAGAGTACCATGATGTTGAACTACCAAAAAAATGGTTTTTGGGACATGGTATAGATTACCTGAGGAGTATTTGGAGCACTAGGACTTTCAAGGCCTGAACTTTCAAATCCATCTAACTCCCTATTGCCGAGACAGAAGAAATTCAAAAAGTCTTGTGGTGAGAAAGCACCCTCAAGTCCAGCCTCCACCAATGCCCTGTAAATAGTCTCGTACATCATTTGCATAGTTTTGTGCTGCAACAACAGTAACAGTTCAAGATCAATGGTCTTCTAATATCTAAGGTCATGATTCTCGGAAAGGAAAAAAAAAAAAAGCTAGTTGATTACTGACCAATTTAAATTCAACAAATTTCTTCATTCACATTGGTTAGTAATTTATCATCTTTATGGAAAAAATAAACATGTCTTAATGTTTGAATAGGACCAAGTTAAACATCAGTGTCCGGTAAAAGTTTGTGTTGAACTTGCTTCAAAGCACACATTAAATCTTGCTGAACTCTCAATAATAATAATACAGTCAAAGCTTTGACCATTTTAACGAAAAGTTTATGGTCAAGCCTACCTGCCAAAATAGAATCCTTTGAGTTGCAGCGCCAGTTGGAACACCCTCTGGCCACATTGGAACAACAATATATGCAGCAAACCTCTCATTTGCTTTAATTTTACTGGCAATCTTAAGAGCAATTTCCATTGGAATTAAGTTGTTAGCACCTGCAGAAAGAGTGCATGGTTATAATAGTTCTGATCCATACCATGAAAAATGCCTCATTATTCCCATAAATATTTCCACTAGACATCCACTACAAGAAGTATCACATAAAGCAATGAACAAATAGGACTAACCAAATGCTCTTCTCATTATTTTTTAATTCTTTTTTAATGGAAAACTTAGTTGTTCAGTATGTTATTCTCTGCCTGCGTCTCAATTGTGCCACAATGACCTATCCGCCTTAGCTCATGGACTCAATCCAAAAGGTTTATAATATGACTGATATATATAACCTGAAAATTTGTTTCTTGATCTTTTTAATGTATCTCTTCTACATACGTCCAAGTCTCAAATTTTTACCCTTTCTTCTTCAAACAAAAATGAACAATATAGGGGGTAATCGTTCAGCCAATATTTACTAAGCCCAATCTGACTCCATTCATTTACCCCATAGAGCTGCAGAACTCATGCATTCATGCAGACCAAAATTGGAATTCCAAAGCAAGATCATGTACAAGCCATTATCAAGTTTCTTACATCAGACACAAAAGATCATGGTCATGAAAATGTAATGGATATCAAAATTAAGTCTCTTACCTAAGTCTTTATAAGAGTTCCAATTGTAGGATGATCCAATGAAATACTGATTTTCTATATAAATGAAATGCTGGGCAGCACGAATGGCCTTCACATATGCTGTATGTATGCTCATATCGATAAGTACATTTTTACCGCACACCAAATTCTGTCACAAGAAAAGACAATCAATCAGCTTCTAGACAGCAAATCAGTACAACCTAATTAAGCCAAAAAATAAAAAAAAAGCAAATCAATTGCAACCTTGCCTTTACCTTGCTTGTGGCATCTTTTGGATCCTTTGGAAAGCCTTTAACAGAATTTGAATCAATTGAGCGAAAAATCTGCGTGTTGAAACCCCAAAACATTAAATAAAAACATTCCATTTGTCCAAAAACTAAAAATTACCAAAAAAACCTTTTTGCAAATCACATTGGCCAAGCAAGATATAGACCTATGACTTACTTGAACCTACGTGCCAAACCAACTCATTTATCACTAAAGCCAAGCTCGAGTAGCAAAATTACCTGAACATGCCAAGCTTCAGGATCATTCTCATTAAGACCAGGAAAATCAGAAACACCAATAATGTCTGGAATTCTTTCTATCCTCAGCAAAGCATCATCATATGACATTTTTAGTTTTTTAATTCCATGAGGCTTTGAAGCCTTGAACCATCGTTCCTCAAAGTTGACCAGAACATCATATGCAGCTGGGCCATCAATTCTACAGTGCAAGTCATGCCATGGTTCTCTTGGACAACCAGCAACATTACCCTGCTCAAGTAATTAGCAATTAAATTATGAGCAGGAAATCTTCTTTGCTGTGATGAAGCGCTATTAAACTTGCAGCTTACTCAAATATCATTCAACAAAACAAAAAGAAAGGTAAGTGGTTACCGTAAACGTTGGGTTATGATAGTCATCCTTATGCACTGTTTGTAGTGTCCTAAATATAGGATGATGTGGAGTATCATATCGCCCATCACATAAGTCAAGGCCACCAAGAAAAGCAATAATTTTTCTTCTATTTTCCCCAGCATTGGCATCCACAATTACAGTTTTCTGATGGTGTGTATAAATTGTTCCAACTTCCTGATAATTGAATTGTTAGGAAAAATATAGTGCTTTAGCCAACCAAACATAATGACAAGGATAACGTATAATAAAAAGCTCTACAATCTAGGGATGGCTTAGTAGATGATAACCCTCCACAGGAGAGTTAACGTCCAAGGCTCCAATGCCTTGGAACTTCCTCATGAGTACTAACTACCAGCAGAAAAACTGATAACAAAAGGTTCAGCAGACATACAACTAATAAAGGATTTGTTGCTTTACTGGCCTATAAAGATTTTGGGAACCCATTCAAAAACACAAGAAAGAAAGAAACAATAACTCTTAAAAGTTCCAGCCAGCTTGTTCATAAACCTCAAAGTTCTGAAACAATTAAGTTAATACCAGCACAATTAACAAGTCATATCTACAAATGTTATGTATAAGTTACACATTCACACTTCACAAAAGCTAGCAACCATATGGTTCAAGTTAATTCACCATCAAATTTAAACAACAAAAACTTAAACCCATCAAACTAACATCAAGGAAAATAAAACTCATATCTAAAGATTCTAAACATATTATGCATATAATATCTAAAGATTCTAAACACATTATGCATATATTTACATATTTGCACTTCACAAAGCTAGCAACTACTTGATTCGAGTGCATTTACCATCAAATTTAGACAGCAAAAAATGGCCCTGTACGGGTGAAATCATGGTAGCATGAAGCAGAAGGGCTCTGATTAATTTTTGGAAGGTTAACCACCATTACGGTATAGATACATTAAAAAAAAAGTTATAGGCATTTGGTCTTTGAATTATTTATATTATATCCAGAAAAGAGGATCGGATCGGGGCAGGCCTATGGCTATGGTGTTTCCCTCATTTAGCACTACTCCTGTCAAAGTTTGAAAGGGCAAGTTATTGATTTGGCTATGTAAAAAATTAGTAAAATACTAATTTAGGCAGTCCTAAAACTAGCCTTTTTTTTTTTTTTTTTGAGAAATATGAAATTTCTAAGCAAAACAAACTTTCCCAACTGACAAAAACATCCTGTCAACAGGTGGTTGGTAGATATATTGCCAAATGCAGCCAACACATGAACATTAATAATGTGCAATGTGACTCGAAAATCTTGCTAAGGCTGATAATCATTCCCAAGAATACAACAATCTAGCAGTACCACCTAATGATGTGAAATAAAATCCAAATTGATGCGGAAAAAATTTTAGAGTTAGGAATGCATAGCTTGGGGCAGAAAAGCTAAAAATAAAAGGTTATTTACACCTAACCTTTTGCTTGACCCAACTATGTCGTTTTCCAGCAATACGAGGACAAAGTAACACTTGCACTGAAGAGTGTTTGAAAAACCGACGTGTTTCCTCATCATGGGTTTGCATTATTCCATCCTGTATTTGTCAATTTAAAGAGTTTAATGTAAAAAACCATATAAGCAAAGCTTTAAATTCCCAACTTCATAAACATCTATAAGTAGAAAACACGAAGATCTATGTGTGTCTTGTCATGGCAGATTGGGGTGCATGCAGAATAATATAGTCAAACTAACTGAGATGGTTATTATCTGAGTTCTTTCAGTTAGATGCTCTTGACCATCAACACCAAGCAAAGAGCCACTACTGAGACATGCATTCAGAGTGTGACAACATACACACATTGTCATCGTTCATGTTTGCACATGTCATTTTCTCCATTAACCTGCCAGCACGATATCACCATATATTTTCATTGTCATTAGGTTTAAGCACTTCATGAAATTGGACCTAATTAATCATAAATGGACTTAATATTCAGAAAATAAGAAATAAAGTCCTACCACTACATAGCTGACTGTTAACCCTGAAGCTATTATGAACAACAATTAACATAATCTGATATAAGTTACTCACTGTTTTGTATCCCAAAATGCTTCTTGAAGTAGGATCATCCCATATCAGAAGTAGCACCCTGACTCCTTCCTGGGACTTTGACCTGAGAATATCCCCCAAAGTGCAATCTGAAGCAGGACCAGCATCCCGCACCAGCGTAACTTTGTGCCAAACTGACCACCCTGTAATGTAAATCAAACGCCTAGCTTGACGAATGGCATCAAATATGTCACTCCAACACTTTCCGTGCACATAGGTCGTCCCCTGGTCAAGTTTCAAGTTTGGCAGGCAGCCATCAGGGACATGGGCATCTTGATAAAGTGTCACTGTTCCCCCCTTCCTAAGAGGAAAATATGTGCCAGGAACCCCCAAATACTCAGGACCTGCTCCAACTCCGTGATGATAGAAGCTCAATTTCTCCATTGGCGTGTACTGAATTGATAGTCTCAAGACAGCCCCAGGCTTACAGGGCTTTCCATTATTATTCAGAATTGGGTAGATTCCCTCAATCTTTTCCCCCGAGTATATCTGCTCCACTGGAATTGTCACAATTCCTATCAACTGTGACCCCACAACATCACTGTCTTTAACAACAAAATGCACTTCGGCAGCATAATGTGCAACAGGAACGTTGAAATGTTGCATCCAGACAGGGTTTTCACTATTGCTAATCACATAAGTCCTTCCCACAACGGCACCAGAAACTGCAATTGAGACATAAGGATCACTTGTAATCTTCCGGTTCATGTGTCCTTCAATCTTGTTGGTGACATTTACAGGTAACCTGCCAAACATATCGCCTAAAGTCTTATGGAACATATCCATGTTGGGAAGATTCTTTGCATCAAAAACCCAAATATCTAAATTTCCGTGTAGGAGCAAAACTCTCAATGAACCTTTCTGGAAAGGCACAATCTGCATACTCTGGCCGTGTTGCGATCCATTGAATGAACCCGTATGGGAAAAAACAGAGTGATTAGATGATTCCATTCGACCCAAATACGGCCCCTCCCATTTACTAGGAAAAGAGTTATTAGGATATCCATAAAAATCCCCTGAAGTAGCATGCCCATAAACCGGACTTTGTAGCTCAGGTGTTGAAGTAGCAGTGGGCAATGCAGCCCCTGAAGGTGCTGGAGGTGATGCAGGAGCTGTCGGGCGACTATCAGACAAATGCACATTACTCAAAAGATCATCCAAAGGCGGATAAGCCGAAGCAACAGATGGGATAGTATCCGTATTTGCTCCTAAAGAGCTTGTGCTTTCCTGCCTGTTATGACCAGAGAAGCTATTGTGTCTGGAGTGTAGCTCAGAGTTACTTTCAGGAGGAGGATATTGAGCAGGTTGTTGATAAGGGGAAGATACTTGTGAATTACTTTCAGGAGGAGGATATTGGGCAGGTTGATGGTAAGGGGAAGATACTTGTGGATTACTTTCAGGAGTTGGGTAATGACCAGCTAAGGATTGCTGGTAAGGGTACGAAGACGAACCATACTGAAAACTACCATGATGTTGGAGAGTTGGTTGAGAAGAAGCATGAGGAATTGGATTTGGAGAAACTGGGTATGGGTATTGATAAGGAATTGGTCCAGAATGAGAATGAGAATGTGGATAGTCTAAGGGAGCCGAATGGGAGGTTGGGGGTAGATATGAAGGTGGTGGATAAGGGTATTGGGGAGAATTATAAGGATATTGATACGGTGGAGGCGCATATGGATCTTGATTTGGAGGAGGGTATCCCGAGTGATAAGGGTATGGATATGGGTTTTTGTATGGGTAATTATCCATCAACAACAAACGCTCTATATCAAATTATGGTTCTTGATGGTGGTAATCAAATCATGTAAAAAAAAAAAAAGGAAAATTTTTTCTTCATACATAGAACAAAAAGTTGCAGAAGAAATCAAATTGAGTTGTGTGAACAGTTTCAAAGAGAATTCAGTTGTAATAACTGGACTTGAATTAAAAAAAAAAAACCCTAGAAGCCAAAAAAAACAAAGAGAACAGAAACGAAAAGAAACCGCTCTTTTTCTCTTTCTTGATTCTTCTGTAAAAAGAAAAAAAAAAGAAATAAGAAATTAAAGAATAGAGAAATGATTAAACAGGTGTTTTTAGGGAAAAAAGTCAGAGGAAGAGAATTACCTATTGGGACGTTTTGATTATTTAAGAAGGTGAATGATAGATATATCTATCTCTCCTTACGGTAATCTTCAAGGAAAAAAGAATGGAGAAGACAAACAGGAGCATTCGGTGAAAAAGCAGTTAAAACAAACGTATTTAGGTAAATATATCTTCGGCGTTGAAAAAGCGAGTGTCAAGGAAAGAAACCAAACATTGCCACGTTGGCATTTCATGTTTCAGCTGCCGTTGGATTCTGCTTCATGCGGAGAAACCAACGACTGGCAGTTTGTTTACCTGTGTACGTTAGCCACGTGGTCAAAGTTATTAGTTAGATATAGGTTTCACAATGACACGCCAAGAATTCCTAGGTATGATTTTAGAGAGAGAAGGGACGAACCTAAGTCTTGAACCACACAAAATCAAACAAAGAATTGAATGCAAAAATCGAAGACAAGAAAAAGTCAGAATAAAATTTGAAGAGCATTTTATGGTCGGGGTACGATTTTCAATAACAACTCCTTGGAACTTGAATGATTAGAAACCGTCTACATTTCATCTCAATGACTTTTCCAACTTGAAACCTAACAATCAACACTATGTCCAAGTTACTGCTATGAAGCTTCTGACATGGTATGTGTTAAAGTAGGCCCAATCTATAAAGCCGAAGGACTCTTGGAGTCTTGTTCCTTTCTTTTCTGTGAAAGTAATCTTGTAGCTAAGCTTCTGGCCTGGCTTTGCAAACGTCAAAATCTCTGGCTCAATCATCATCGATACTCCATTTGGTTCATTCCCTTGGACTACGTAAGTAACATTAGGAATCCCAACATGTGTGACGGTCCTTTTGAAGGTCAAACTATTTCTTTTGCTGCTTCGTTTGAAATTAACTGCAAAAGAAGGGTAATTTAGGTCGCCGGGTTGTATAGTTGGAACTTTCGGACAAGTGAAACCCTCCCCTGCGAACAAGGCTATCTCGGAAGCTGAATAATTTAGGCTGCACAAATAGTTCTGGTAATCTTCTGGGGTGATGTCATAGATCAATCCTGGATCAGAAGCCTTTTCAGGTTCAACATGGCCAGAACCAAATGCTAAAGGTGTAGCAATAGTAGAGTCACTAAAAGCAACATCGACTATTTGCCGGTGCTTGTTGTCTAGAACATAAGCTGTTGTCATAAGAGCTGATTTGATAGCAGCAGGGGACCAGTCTTTGTGCACTGATTTGAGGAGTGCTGCTATGCCACTAACATGAGGGCAAGACATTGAAGTGCCTGAAACTACATTGAACAGAACACTCCTTTTGTCACTCTTCAGCTGAGTTGGGCTAGTCAAGGGTGGCCATGCTGCCAATATGTTCATTCCTGGCGCAGTTACATCAGGTTTGATCAAGTCTGGTCCAACCTTATTTGGTCCTCTTGAAGAAAATGCTGCCATCACTGGTGCTGGCTTGTCATACACTGTTCCTTGGAATGTAACTGAAGCAGTTGGAATTTTAGTTGAGTTCAGGTATGTTTTGATGGCTTTGCCTGCTAAGGATCCTAATGTAGTGGCTGGTAAAATGTGTGCATCTGCAAAAAGTTCCTCACCTTCATTTTCGGTGTTTACCAGTAGCATTCCAGCTCCTCCGGCCAATTTTACTTGCTCTCCCTTTTCAGCTCGACTATTGATTCCCCGTTGACAAACAACAATTTTGCCTTTTACAAGTTTACGCTTGAGTGAGCCATCAATGCAAAATACAGCTGTTATATCACCAGCTGTTTTTCCATAAACAAGCGGTAATTGCTTTGTTGCCTTGCCAACATATAGAGATTGACCCTCAAAAGTTTGCCCGTCTCCAAGCTTGACAGTCGTTGGAAAGCTCCGATCAAGATAGCTTGCCGCCACAGTCATAATCCATGGTGCGGTATTGGAAACAGTTGATCTAGATGGGCCTGAATTGCCACCAGAGCATGAAACAAAAATCCCCTTTTTGATTGCTTGAAATGCTCCTATTGCAATTTCATCGCTGTGATAAGGCTTAGTAGAACCTCCTAAAGAGAGTGATAACACGTCAACACCATCAAGAATGGCTTGGTCTATGGCTGCTAGTATATCAGAGCTAACACAACCTACAGACCAGCACACTTTATATACTGCAATTCTGGACGTGTATCTCACCCCACCCGCTGAGCCCTTGGCCAAGCCAAAAATGCTTGCATTTGCAACAAGGTTACCGGCTGCAGTTGATGCAGTATGTGTCCCATGGCCTTCTGCATCTCTTGCCGATCGATAATCTTTTGTTTCATTGATTCTGCCACCAGCAGCCTCATAGCCTTGGAAGAAGGCTCTGGCACCAATAAGTTTCTTATTGCAATTTGATTGTGAGAAGTTTGTGCCTTCCTCACATGCACCTTTCCATCTTGATGGCACTGGAGACATGCCTTCGTCCTGGAAACTGACATGTTCTGGCCAGATTCCAGAATCCACCACGCCTATTATCACGTCAGACTCCAAATTTGGAGCACTCCAGAGTCCTTTTCCCAATTCTAGGCCAAGAAATTGGGGGGTACGTGTAGTATGTAGAGTCAACATTTCATCAGGAGTGGCAGACAGGAAACCATTGAGTCTTTTCAGTGATTCTAATTGCTTAGTGGAGAGCTTTGCAGCAAAACCAGAAATAGCAGTTTTGTAGACATAAATTAGCTGGGGAGATGTTGATTCAGACTCATGTTCTTCTTCTTCTTCAGCTGAGAGTTCAGTGATAGAGTCGATCACTGATTCGTACCATTCTTTGGAGTTGCCTGGAGATTGGTCTGAGGTTGTTATCTTGGTCTTGTCCATGTGAACTATATAAGTCTGCTTGTTCGTCAAGGCATTTGAAGTTGTTGCTACAAAGACTAACAATAGCAAGGCTGTTTTACACATCATGGTTGCTGTAACTAAAGACAACAACCGAAAAAAAAACATATAGTTATCTTACTGATAAATCATAAATGTTAGATTACTTTTTACTCTTTTCTCTGGGAATGAAAGTGAAATGTTATAATCCGAAACAGAGCTACATCAGAGTATTTTAAATCTTAAAGATGTTGAAAATGACACATATATGTGAAGTGGTTTATTAAAAACTTCAACACATCAACCAAATAACCGATGTCTTCCATGAAATGATCAGAAGATTTGACAGAAAGAAAAGTTTTCTTCGATTAAAAGAACTAGAACTGATTGATCAAGAAAAGAAAAAAAAGGTAGAAAATGTGAGCACGGCATTCATATAATAGGTGCTAAAGTTATGAATGAGACAGAAGATATTGGATTCAATTCTACTGAGTGAATAATGTATTGAATGACTGTTATATCTACAATGCATTCATTGAAAGAGAAAGACAAATGAGAATCACCTGTCTCCATAGCACAACACAAAGAGAATGAGAAGGAATATACAGGACAAGGAATGATCAACCAGGAGAGGATCTTATATAGGCAAAGAGTGGAGGATAACCAGCTAGAGTTTTTATTTCTTAAGCTCAATGTTTATCATAATTATACAACAAAGGTGTTTTCCATGCTTTTTATTCCCTTTTGTTTGATTAAAAATGTGCACGCTTCAACTGGAACAATGGATGGGCGAGAGAGCAAAGCTGCACATTCCTCCTCCATTAGCAGCAGATGGGAATGAGATGGAGAGTGGGACCAATCCATTGCTATAACGTGAACTTGAGAGGCGACTATACATTATGACTATGTCGCAACTCATAACCATACACTTAAGTCCAAACAACTTAAATTCTAATGATTTCTTCGAAGTTCTAAAATGGATTTGGATTAGAAACTCCCTTTGTAAGAAAAGGGCATACACCAAGTTTAATATTTATCTTTTCACATTAATCTAAATAATAATCAGAATACCATGAAACAAAAAAAAAGTTAATTAAGATTCTTATTTGAGTAATAACCTAATTACTAATCAAGTAACAATCTGGATTTTAGTTCAATTAATGCATGCAAGATATCCAACAAATTAAAATTCAAATCTTAATGTTCGTAGTTTTTCTTCTTTTTTCAAATTGCGACCTCTTTTATAAAAAAAAGTTAGATTAATTTAATTATTCCTCTTATTGTTGAACAGAAGTCATTTAAGCTAGTTGAAACATAATCAAATGATGCAATGAACACGATATTGAAATTTTTATTGTCTATGATTATTAACTGGCATATGTAGCGTAGCCATGTTAACAGATTCAATAGTTGGGTTGGGATGATTGCCACATTTTGTGGTGCTGAATTCTTTAATTATTACAATTATGAAAGTCAAGTTAATGGAGCATTAACATCAAAAGCTTGTACATGGAACATTATTGGAGAATCTTGTGCTCATTGTTCTAAAAAGCGTATCATCCAGGAGGACAAACATACAAAAGAGATAAGAAATGTCCCAGAAATGAAAAAAAAACATAAGATCACAGGGTGGGCAGGCTAGAATTAAATTTTTTCTGGATATGATATTTCGTCTGCATGTTACTAGTACTATATTTCAGATTTCATATTTTGACAGGCTGGAATGTATTAGTATATTCTTGCACCTTAGTGAAGTGTGAGCAATTTGCTGTTTAAGAATTTTTAAAGAATTTTTAAAGAATTCACCATCTGGAACTAGACTTGAGGGAACATATGAAACAGTTTTTCAGATTTGGGATCCTAGAATAATATTAGAAGCAGATTTCAGTATAGTAGGTATAGCCGTATGGCAGAATATCACTAAAGGTAGGGTGCCTGAAATCTTTTCCACCCAAGATTTAATTCAGTTTGTCCGTCCATGTAATCACCCTATGATTTTGAATTCAAATTTCAGCACTAAATTTTTTTTTTCTTCTTCTCGGATTGCAATAAGCTGCCTAGGTTTATCTCCAAGGGAAGTTTAACACGTTGAACCAGGAAAAAATTCCTAACCCTTTCAGGACCAGTAGTAAGATTTTTTTGCTCTTTTAAACATACCAGGAGTAACAATCATCATTCGAAGTTTTTCCCTTTTGAGTCCGTTGGAAGTTACATGTTGTTTTAAAGCCTGCAAGAGCCAATGGAGTGAAGTAGAAGTAGTTGAGGTCACATGCCCAACGCACAAACAACTTTTGAGGAGTCAATAATATGAAATTACAAACTTCTTGTGTATAATAATATATGCATACCCTTGCTTCTATTTGAAGCCTGGTTTCTATATTCTTTGTTTCTAAGAAGCTTGCTTTTGACGTTTGTCACGATGATGATGGAATCATGATGGAGGTATGACAATGGGGGTGAGGCAACTACTTGTTGGGTGCCCATGCTCGTTGAAAACCAGATCATCTTACTAATAGGGACTAGTCGACGAGGTTAAAGACTCTATTTCCCGCAAAGTGGGAATACTCGAGCCCAAGCCATACCATCATTCTAGCATCTGAAAAAGAAAGACCCATATCAACGGATCTCCAGGACATGAGGGACCAATTAACAGCAAACCACACCCAATTTCTTCTCGGGCGTTTAGGCCAGATAAGGAGTTTGGATGCAAATAACTAGATAATGAGGAAACCCCAATTAAGTAAGCCCAAAAATTACCCAAGTTAGAATTTTTGAAGTTATTTAAATGGCGCGGGAACAATTTCTTTTTGTATTTTAACATTTAGGGAAAAAATAGGATATTTGGTTTAATTTTTTTTCAATTTTTCTTTTTCTCGCTCTCTGTAATTTTTTCCTTTTTTGTCCCTATGAAAGTGCCGTTGTTCCCATTACATTTCAAAAATTCACTACCTGCCTAAACCACGAACAAGAAAGAAGAGTGCAAAATAGAATACAAATTGAAGGGCATCAGCTCGGTTTTTGCTTTTGAGCATTTCAAATGTCTTTTATTTTCATTCAACAGCCATACATGAACCATAGATAAGGGGAAAAAAAAAAACTTAAGGACACAGCTCCATTGATAATCTCGAATCCTTGAAATTTATACCAAGGATTTTACGGCCTCGGCAATATGAAAAGCTAAAACCTAGTTCCATGTCACAGCTATGGGACTTCTAACTCTGTAGTTCCCAGACACCCATACCAAGGATCCAAAAGATGATGAGCTGGCAACTGTGCTCCGTCCTATAAAACTCACCTTGTAACTCAATTTCTCTCCCAACTTGTTAAAACTTAAAATGTTAGGCTTTACAATCACTGATACTCCTTTGGGTCCTTCGACTGATACTTTATATGAACTTCGAGGAATCCCAACATTTGTGACAGTCCTTTTGTAGGTAACCGTAATATTTTGAGCCTTAGCCTTGAAATTCACTGCAAAAGAAGGGTAATTCAGGTCACCGGGTTGCATAGTTTCCTTCTTAGGACACGTAAAACCATCTGCAAACAAGGATATCTGAGAAGCATTGTACTTCAGGCTGCATAGATAATATATATAATCCTCGGCACTGATGTCGTATATTAACCCTGGATTAGATGCTTTGACGGGGTCAATATGACCTGAACCAAAAGCGAAAGGCGTAGCAGAGCCGTAAAATGCAAGATCAGCTATAGGTTTTCCTCTGTTGTCAATTGTATAAGCAGTTGTCATGAGGGCTGATTTGATTGCTGCAGGTGACCAATTTTTGTGCTTTGATTTAAGCAGTGCAGCAATGCCACTAACATGAGGGCACGCCATAGATGTACCTGAAATTATGTTAAACAAGACCCTTCTCTGGTCATTCTTGAGTGAACTCGGGCTAGTCCCAGCTGGCCATGCTGCCAGTATGTCTACTCCTGGTGCTGTTACGTCTGGTTTGATCACATCTGGTCCAACTAAATTTGGCCCTCTTGATGAAAACGCTGCTACCATTGGTGCTCGATTACCATAAGTTGTCCCATTGAAGGCAATGGAAGCTGTTGGAACTTCAGTTGAACTCACATATTCCTTGATAGCTTGACTGGCTAAGGCTCCTAATAAAGTGGCTGGTAAAATGTGCACCTCAGATGCAAGATCTTCGCCTTCAGTGCTCACTATGATCATTCCAACTCCCCCTGCCAATTTCACTTGCTCTCCCTTTGCAGTGGTACTAACGAATCTTTGTTCACAAATAACAAATTTCCCTTTTACAAGCACAGGATTGAGTGAGCCAGCCAAGCAATATTCTGCGCCTCTGCCACCAGCGGTTTTCCCATATACAATTGGAAATTGCTTTGTATCTGAACCGGTGTATAAAGATGAACCTTCAAAAGTATGCCCATTTCCGAGTTTGACGATTGTTGGAAAGCTTCGATCAATGGTGCTTGCCGCTACAGTCATGATCCATGGTGCTGTATTGACAGCAGTATATTCCTCTGGCCCATTATTGCCTGCACTAAACGTAAGAAAAATCCCACTTGCGAAAGCATAAAATGATGCTATAGCAACTGGATCTTCATAATAAGGCTCAGCTTCTGATCTAGATCCTAAAGAGATAGACAGCACATCAACTCCATCGTCAATGGCTTGCACTATAGCAGTTATAATATCAAGGGTTGTACATCTTGGCCAACATACTTTATACATTGCAATTCTTGCTGTATACCTCATTCCAGCGGCTGAGCCATTGGCCAAGCCAAAAAGGCTTGCTTGTTCTACATAATCACCAGCTGCTGTTGATGCTGTATGTGTCCCATGTCCAGATGTATCTCTTGCAGATAGATATTCTTCTTTTTCATTGATTCTGCCACCGGCGGCCAGATAGCCTCCGTAGAAAGCTCTAGCACCAATTAGTTTCTTGTTGCAATTTGATGGTGAGAACCCAGTGCCTTTCTCACAAGTACCTTTCCATCTTGCAGGTACAGGAGGCATGCCCTGGTCCTGAAAACTAACATGCTCAGGCCAAATTCCAGTGTCCACCACGCCAATTATCACATCTGACTGTAAATCAGAAGATTGCCATAGTCCTTTCATGCCTTCTAGGCCAAGAAACTGTGGAGTGTGCGTGGTGTGGAGGCTCAGCATTTTATCAGGAATCGCAGACACAAAACCATCTACCTTTTTCAAGGACTCTAACTGCTTAGCAGACAGCTTTGCAGCAAAACCGAAAAAGGCAGTTTGATAGGAATAGATTAATTCCGGACGTGTTGCTTCCAATCCCTGTTCTGCTGAGACTTCAGCTATAGAGTCAAGGACGGTTTCGTGCCATGGTTTGGAATTGGCAAGGGAATTATAGGTATTTGTGATCTTGGTCTTGTCCATGCGAACTATATATGTTTGTTTGTCCGCTGAAACAGTTGAAATAACTGCAACGAATGCTAGTAACAGCAACATTGCGTTAAAGATCTTGATCACTGAAAAGAGAAACAGAGAGTTAGTTCAACATCAAATTACACTAATTGGCAAATAAAATCGAACTTAAACTCGTCGAGTCCAAGCATGACTGTAAATACAAGTAGAATTAATATATAGTTTCCACATAACCTTAATGTAATCTAAAGCAAAGTTCTTGGAGATATATAGAACTTCAAGATGATAATCTTAGATCTAAAACAGTTAACCCTGCATGTTGTCAGTTGCAAACATGCTTCAGGGCTGACCATACCAGGACTTGGCAGCTTAAGTACTGCAGTTGCTCATATCTCGAGAACCGAGAAACAAAAGGAAGGGGGGGTGACTTGGGAGGTGTTAATAATAGTATGAATAAGGATGGACCAATCGACCTAGCAATGGTGAAAGCACTTGACAATGAATTGAGCATGGAAGCAAAGAAAAGTGCAATTAATTATTACCAGTCTTCATGGCCTCAAAGCTTAAGAACAAGAAGAGTGAGAACACAAATGGGAAAGGTGAGATGTTATTGAGGACAAAGAAAAGTGTAATTAATTATTACCAGTCTTCATGGCCTCAAAGCTTAAGAACAAGAAGAGTTAGAACACAAACGGGAAAGGTGAGATGTTATTGAGGACCATAGGGGAGGATTTTATAGGCAAAGCTTTGCTTTCTAATTATAATGCATGAACGAGGTTTTGCCTAAAACCCAGGGAATATGAATCTTTCTACAAACATAAGACTAAGATAAAGAAAGGGGGAAAAGACTTAAATAAAGTTTTTGAGGTAAAATTTGTAAAATTTTATGATTAAATAAAATTAAAATAAAAAATCAAAATTAATAAATTAAAATATATCGTTACTTAAATTAACTGTTTAAATTTTGAAAAAAAATTTATATATATTTTAAATAGATATTTTTAGTGAAAATATTAACAAAATTTTTATTATTAAATATATATAATTAAATTTGAATTATAAATAAATTTTTTATTAATTTTTTTAAATATTATTAAATTTTATCATTCTATCAATTTTAATTTTTTATTAAAATTTTTATTAAATAAAATTTTTAAAAATTTATAAACTTTACGTAAAAAACTTTACAATTTTTTGTTCATTTGTCACTTTTTCTTTAGTTCTTTCTCCGAACAACGTATTTTTCACGTTGGATCATCATGACTTGATAGATGCTTTTGGAAGACTTATGCTGAGTCTTCTGCATCTTTCTCACTTGATTGATGATTAAAAGCGGAGATTTAGGAGATGAAACAAAGTAGTACTATTAATTTTAAAAAAAAATTCAGCACAACTATAAAAAAAATAATAAATTTTTAATAATTCTGAGTAATTTTTTTTTTAAGTTTTTGTGTTGTAAGCCATCTCAATCGGTCATTGCAAACTAAAAGAGCATTAAAAAACTAAAAAAAAAATTATTTTATATCAACTGTGTATAAAATATGATAATTATTATATTTAATTCGTATAAATATATCACATATAAATTCATATGTAATTTTTTTAAAAAAAGAATTTAATAACATCATTTTTATTTTTTTTATTATTTTCGTATTTAAAAATGATAAAACAATTTTCTTTCAACTGTGGGCCCCATGGGCTATGGCCATTTCGCGATACAACTAATGAACACTTGACTCAGCTTTTTACGTTCCCCTGGTTTCCACGCAAATAAGGAGGATATGAAATCGTTTTAGTTCTAATTTAATTTTGAGAAAGAATTTTAGCCAGCGGCGAAGAACAATTCTTGTATAATTTGACCGTAACCCCTGATAATGACATCCTTATTTGCTTCGAAGCATCATCTACCAATCAAGAATATCCGCAGCTTATTCGGTTTTATTGGCTACAAAGGTATGGATACCCAAATTCTACACGTTCATTACTCTGCCAGGTCCACTGCCAATATATGGCTTCTTAATTGGCAGGGGAAAACGTGACCTTATGAAAGAAAAAATCAATTCAATTAATGTAATGATCAAAAATTAATGAATGACAATTATGCCATCTGTTTATAAAATATTAAATTTTTAATTATTTCGATAATTAAAATTTAATTTTTAATAACTTTAATTATAAAAAAACCTTTAATACATGATTGATTTTGTCTTCAAACGAGTAATCAGTGTTGGACTAATAAGTCTTTGAGAGGTGTTAGTAAACATATACTAATCAATGACCAAAAAAAATACATATATATATATCAATCAAAGGGAATTTCAATTCTAATTTAGAGAAGGTGATCTATCCATTTTTTTATATATTCTTTTATACTTGAGAATAGAAAAACTCCAAATATCATTAAGCGAATCGAAAATGCTGGAAACGAGAAGTCATCATTGTTGTAGTTTTCCTCAACTACAAGTTCACATTGTTGAAAGTGACGGGGCTGAGACTGATTGGCTGAAAGTAACCCCCCACCCACGCACAGTAACATACGCCAAAATAACCAAGACTTCGTTTCTTATTTTTTGGGCAAAAGAATGACCAAAGTGTTAGGGAGCGGATTAGGCCTTAAAGCATGATAAGGTAGGGACAATTTGTTTGCTTTTTGACCAAGACTCGAGAGTCAATAAGGCCATGATAGGGCAGAATAATTGGGTCGAAATTTCATAATTTGTATATTTGTAACATATGAAATATTAAAATATTAAAAATATATTATATATATTATATATCATATTTTATGTTAATAAGAAAATATAAAATATATTTTTTATTTTATTAAATATATATAATAATTATTAAAAATTTATATCATGTTATTTTTATATTTTTATATTATATTTATATTTAATCATTTTATTATATTTTAAATAATTAAATTTACTTGAGTTTCAACCATCCACGTATTTTAATTGACCATATCTTTTTTTTTTTCTAATCTTAACTGGCCTTGTCTTCCTTCTTAGTATTATTGTAATTTTATAAAAACTATTGTTTATTACATTTTAATCTTTTAACTCTGATTGATGATTTAGGTTAACAATAACTAAACCCCACCCCCCCACAACGAGTATAATAAAATCCATCACGAAATTCTAAGATTTTCCATATCTTCATTTTGTGGGTGAAATAAATAAATAAATTTTGATTATTTAAAATAGAAAAGAAAAAAATGGGTCTCTTTTGTCAATTTATCCATGAAATAATGGTTTGGATTTCATGGAACTTTCAATCAAATTTTGTGTCAATCACATTGAAAAGATCCAAATGGAGCATGTGAATGGCATGGTTGGCCACAGCCAGCCACCAATCAATTTTGCTCCGATTGCTTGATGCATTGATCTTTACGAACTTTCACTTTTTTTTTTCTTTTCTATCTTTGAAATTTAGTAATAAGGACAAAAATATTCTTACAAGTTGAGTTTTCTATTTTCATTTTTTCTTATTTATTTTTTATTTAACAATCATATAATAATAAATAAATCAAATTTATCACTATATAATAAATAAATAAATTTCAATTATTTATTACCAAACTATTATTTGATATAAAATAATTTAATAATTTTATAAATTTAAAATAATATAAAATTTTTATTATATATTTTTTAATTTAATATCTTTAATAAATTTTTCTTACTATAATTTACTTAACAATTATTATTGTATTTATATTTAAATGTATATCTTCATCATTAATTTTAATATCATAATTATAATAATTAATTTCATTTCTACCTTTATTTTCTTATTAAGATAGACCCTAAGTTGGTGTACCATTAATTTGTAGTAGCAACTCGATTAAGAATTCTAAGAGTAGTGTAAATATTTTAATAATTATTTATATTTTTTATTAAATTACTCATTTTATTATCATATATAACATTAAATGATATCACTGCTAATATTATAACCGGTGTACAACTGATTGTTACTTTTACATTTATTTTTTTATTAAATTATGTAACTTATTACACCTAATTAAGAAAAATAATATTAGTATTTTTTATCACCTTTACATCTATTTTATTATTAAATTACATCTTTTGGTGATGCCCGGTTTCGTGATCCTTCGCTTCTAGGAAGCTTGGGCTTGTGGTTTCGTGATCATCATGGTGATGATGGAGGTTCGACAATGACGTACCAATTATTTGTTGGGCGATTACACAACCCAAACTCATTGAAAACGAGTTCAATGACTTTATATTATGGCAAGTGGCGATATTTAAGCCCAGGCCCTTAGGGCATTCAACAACGTGCGGCCTCCGTTGGGAGTTTGGACCAGCGAAGCTGTCTGGACGCGATCAACTAACGTGGGGTTTGTCTTGATGGTACCCTTATTAACCACAAACTTCAGGCCCAAACAAAACCCAAGCGAGAAATTAAAAGCTTTAATGCCCGAGCAAAAAGGAAAACTGCAAAATAGAATTGCAAATTTTATTGTTGAGCATTTCAAATGCTCTGTTTTTTTTTTCTTCAACAAGCATACATCAACCTTTAGTTGATAATCTCGAATCCTTGCAATTCACACCAAAGGATTTTTATGGTTATGGGACTTGAGCAGGAACCTATTTCCAAGTCACTGCAATGGGACTTCTAACTCTATAGTTCCCGGACACCCACACCAAGGATCCAAATGATGATGAACTAGCAGCTTTCTTCTGTCTGCTCGGTCCTATAAAACTCACCTTGTAACTCAATTGCTCATCTAACTTTTTAAAACGTAAAATGTTAGGCTTTACAATCACTGATACTCCTTTGGGTTCTTCAACTGATACTTTATATGAACTTCGAGGAATCCCAACATTTGTGGCAGTCCTTTTGTAGGTAACCGTAATATTTTGAGCCTTACCCTCGAAATTCACTGCAAAAGAAGGGTAATTCAGGTCACCGGGTTGCATAGTTGCCTTCTTGGGACACGTAAAACCCTCTACAAACAAGGATATCTGAGAAGAACTATACTTCAGGCTGCAAAAATAATATAAGTAATCATCGGCACTGATGTCATATATTAACCCTGGATTAGAAGCTTTGACGGGGTCAACATGACCTGAACCAAAAGCGAAAGGCGTAGCAGAGCCATAAAATGCAAGATCTGCTATAGGTTTTCCTCTGTTGTCAGTTGTATAAGCTGTTGTCATGAGGGCTGATTTGATTGCTGCAGGTGACCAATTTTTGTGCTTTGATTTAAGTAGTGCTGCAATGCCACTAACATGAGGGCACGCCATAGATGTACCTGAAATTATGTTAAACAAGACCCTTCTCTTGTCATTCTTGAGAGTGCTCGGGCTAGTCCCAGCTGGCCATGCTGCCAATATGTCAACTCCTGGTGCTGTTACATCTGGTTTGATCACGTCTGGTCCAACTAAATTTGGCCCTCGTGATGAAAACACTGCTATCTTTGGTGCACGATTACCATAAGCTGTTCCTTTGAAGGCAATGGAAGCTGTTGGTGCTTTAGTTGAGTTCACATACTTCTTGACAGCTCGACTGGCTAAGGCTCCTAATAAAGTGGCTGGTAAAATGTGCACCTCAGTCGCAAGATCTTCGCCTTCAAAGCTCACTATGATCATTCCAACTCCTCCTGCCAATTTCACTTGCTCTCCCTTTGCTTGGAGCTTAATCAATCCTTGTTCACAAATAACAATTTTCCCTTTTACAAGCTTCGGATCGAGTGAGCCAGCAAGGCAATACTCTGCTTCTAATCCTCCAGCAGTTTTTCCATATACAATTGGCAATCGCTTTGTAGCCGGCCCAGTGTAAAAAGATGACCCTTCAAAAGTTTGCCCATTTCCGAGTTTGAGAATTGTTGGAAAGCTTCGATCAATGGTGCTTGCCGCTACAGTCATGACCCATGGTGCTGTATTAACAGCAGTATATTCCTGCGGCCCACTATTGCCTGCGCTAAACGTAACAAAAATCCCACTTGCGAATGCAAAAAATGATGCTATAGCAAGATAGTCTTGATAATATGGTTCAGCTTCCGAAAGAGATCCTAAAGAGAGACAATACATCAACCCCATCTTCAATGGCATGCACTATAGCAGTTAGAATATCAACACTATTACATCCTGGCCAACATACTTTATACACTGCAATTCTTGCTGTGTACCTCATTCCTGCAGCTGTGCCATTGGCCAAGCCAAAAAGGTTTGCATGTTCTACAAAATCACCAGCTGCTGTTGATGCTGTATGTGTCCCATGTCCAGATGTATCTCTTGCAGATAGATATTCTTTTGTTTCATTGATGCTGCCACCGGCGGCCAGATAGCCTCCGTAGAAAGATCTGGCACCAATTAGTTTCTTGTTGCAATCTGATGGTGAGAACTTGGTGCCTTTTTCACAAGTACCTCTCCATCTTGAAGGTACAGGAGGCATGCCATGGTCCTGGAAACTAATATGCTCTGGCCAAATTCCACTGTCCACGACGCCAATTATCACATCTGACTGTAAACTATTAGAAGAACGCCATAGTCCCTTGCTCCCTTGTAGGCCAAGAAACCGTGGAGTGCGCGTGGTGTGGAGGCTTAGCATTTTATCAGGAATCGCAGACACAAAACCATCTACCTTTTTCAAGGATTCTAATTGCTTAGCTGACAGCTTTGCAGCAAAGCCGAAAAAGGCAGTTTCATAGGAATAAATTAGTTCTGGAGGTGTTGCTTCCAATTCCTGTTCTTCTTGAGATGAGACTTCAGCTATAGAATCAAGGACGGCTTGGTGCCATGGTTTGGAATTGGCAAGTGAATTATAGGTGCTCGTGATCTTGGTCTTGTCCATGCGAACTATATACGTTTGTTTGTCGGCTGAAGCAGTTGCAATAACGGCAATGAATGCTAGTAACAGCAGCATTGCATTAAAGGTCTTGCTGAGCACTGAAGAGAGAGAAAGAGAAAAAGTCAATTTAACATCAAATTAGTAATTTTCAAATAAAATAAATTCTTCAATTGAATTCAAACTCGTCGAGTCCAAGTATTAGAATATATAGTAGGAATAAGGATGGAGCAATCAACCTAGCTATCCTCAAAGCATGAACTTCACAATGAATTAAGCATGGAAGCAAAGAAATGGGTAATTACCAGTGCTCTTCATGGCCTCGAAGGTTAAGAAGAACGAGAACATATGTGAAAAGTGATATGTTACTGGCGACTAGGAGAGGATCTTATAGGCAAAGCTTTGAAGGAAAATACCACAGTGACAGTACTTGGAGTTTGCGACCAAATTTTTTGATTTAAGACATACAAAGTAGAATATTCAAACTTATAGTTAATGAAAAATAAATGAAAAAATCTTTTTTAGCATATTTAAGTGTTTAAGACACGTGACATTTGTAAGAAATTAATACTATATTTTATCACATTTTTTTAACACTTTAATTTAAAGTTTTATTTAATAAAAAATCTTCATTTTTAATTTACGAGTTACAATTTTTAATCGTGTGTGAAAGAGAGTTTGTGCTAAGGAATCTTTCTATTATCTTTACAAAAGAATGACAAGATAATAAGTTTTAAATGTTAAAACTTTATAGGGGTAGTTTGGTAATTGACTCACACAAGTTTGCACTGTTAACGGTCATTATCCCAGTAAATTTTATCCTTTTTCTTTTTGTAGTTTTTTAACTAATTTTTCTTCAGCTTTTTGAATAAAAAAAAAATCAAAATATGAATGCATGCTCGAAAAGTAAAAGAACACTTCGAAAGATAAAGTACTTTTGTTTTCATCGATAGGGCCCCTCATGAACCACGATACAAGTTAATCGATACTCGACCCAGCTTTTTCCTTGTTCCTAACAATGCCGGAAGCCACAGGTTATTGGGTTCTAATGGCCACAAATATGGATAGCCAAATGCTAATGTGAAGGTGATCGATCTTTGTAGTTTTCTCCAGCAAATGTTCACATTATTGAAAGTCGAGGGCCCAGGACTGAGGCTGACTGACTTTGATTTTAAAGTTCATTTAGATCGATGATAAAGTTAATTTGGAGATTAAAAATAATAATAAAAGAAAATTCGATTATTATTATTATTGTAAAATTAAAATTAATGATAAAATATATGTATAGATATAAAAATAATTGTGATAATAAGTTGAATTATAATAAAAAAATAATCATTTAAAATATTAAATTAAAGATTATATATAATAAAATTTTAAATTATTTAATATTTATAAAATTTATTTATTATATAAAATTTATTAATAAATAATAAAATTAATTTAAAATATTTATTTATGCATTAACTAATAAAATTTATTTATTATATTTAAATTATCAAATTTAAAATCTGTAATAACATTTTAAACATAACAATAAAACTTAAAAAAAAAAAAAAAACTGGCCCATCATCAACTGCACAAAAAATAACACTGACTATTGTTCAACTTCACTATTATTTCGTTTAGAAACAAAAGTTACGACTGGCATTTTCTCATGGCAACTGCAGAAGATGCAAGCAATCCAAATGGACACCAAGTCCCTAACGTACACATATAACGCCAAAATGACGAAGAGTTGGGTGCCGAAAAGGCCTAAGGCATGATAATGGCAGTTGAGTGAACCAGATGAAGTGGTTTGACAGAGCTGGCCCCATAAATGGAACCTTGACGTTTTTTTTTTCTTTCATTTACATACACCAATAAAAAGAAAAAGCAAAGTTACAAAGTTTAGTGTTTCCGACTAAAGTTCTTTCGACCTTTTGCTGCAAGGCATCTTCCTGATTTATAATTGCAAACGATCCGACAACGTGCAAAGGCTGCAGCCAACAAGAAATCATGGACCAAATAGTAATAAATGTTCGTACTTTAAGTTCTCGTTTCAGCTCCGTTTAATTGATTTTTTGTTTTTGTTATTTGTTTATTTTTTATTTTGATTAAAAAATAAAAATTAAGGATATAATCAAATCGAATCGATACAGTAAGTTTGAGTTCGAATTTGACTCTCAATTTGTTGTTCGATACTTGATTCAAATTAGATCAATTTTTTTTTAACTTGAATTCGATTCGTGATCGAATTTAAGTTATTTGAATTCGTTCAATTAAATTTAAAAATATATAAAAATAAATTCGATTCTTATATTCGATAAAAATTCAATTATTTATGTTTAAGTTCGAGCTCAACTTTAAGATATTTTATTAATTAAAATAATAAAAAAATTTAAATATAAAAATTCGATTAGATTTATAAATTATTCGAATTGAATATAAAAATATTCAAATTTAATTCTATCGATGAATCGAACTACTCGAATTCGAGCTCGATTCGATAATAATCAAATCAAATTTAAATTTTATTTAAATCAAACTTAAATAACTTATTAATATTAATATTAATAAATCATTTATATTTCTAATAAAAATAAATAATAAATTCGCATAATAAAGAAAGATTTTTTAATTTCAATTGTGAAGTAAAACTTATCAAATTCATCATTCTTTTTAGCCCTTCCAGGATTGGCATCTGAAAAAGAAAGGCCTGGCGAACGGGCCTCGAGGATATCATGGGACCGAATAGCAACAAACAAACAAGTGAACAACAACCACATTCTCTTCTTCGCTTGGCTGAACCATGGATTACAAAGCGACAGAAGTGATAAAGTCGAATTGATTTTTTTAAATATTATATAATATTATAAAAATTTAAATTGAATTTTTATTCAATTTGATCGAATTAAATTGAATTTTATTAATTTTTTTATTTGATTTACTGATTTTTAATTTTTATATATTATTTTAATATAAAATTTTAAATTATTTAAGTAATTTTTAATATAAAATTATTTTTTTATAAAAATTTAAAATATATAGAAAAATAAAAAAATATATAATTTGATGTGATTAAATTTTCTTGATTTTTTAGTTTTATTTAAATTTTTATTTGAATTTAATATATATATATATTTAATATTTAAAATTAATTTAAATTTAATTAAAAAAATTAATTTACGTCAAATCAAATTTTAAGATTTCAAATCGGAAAAAATTTTTTTTTTCACTTTACAAAGCAATCGGCTTTTGTATTGAGGTACTTTCCACTTTTCTTTTCGGTACTGTTTTTAACATACAGTTCTGGGCTAATAATGGAGTAGTGCTTTTCGTTGATACAGTGCCTCGAACTTCATTTCATCGATAAAGCAATGGTTGATAATGGAAGATGAAATGATGGGTTGTTGAACTGTCATGGTGAATATACAACAGATTTTTCTATACTTTCCAATTGATGATGATGACAACGAGCGAACCGCAGAACTGTGATAGGCACAGGTTTTGGTGGCTGTGCTTTCACACTGCAGCATAATGATGTAACAGTTTGAATTTTGCATGATCCAAAGATATTCACTATTAAGGAGACTAGTGCGAAGGAAGGATGATTGGAGTCCCATACTTTTGCTGTTTGCATTTGCTGGACTTTGCTTGAATCAATCTTCTCCGAAGATTTGCTAGATAATTATTGGAGTATTTCTTGAATTTATTTTCTCCACTCTAGTACTGGTAAATGGTATAAAACCCTTTTTACTGGGGCAGGGTAATTGAGCTATTGCTGCAAACTTTTTTTATAATTTGACTGAGATTCCTTGATCATTTGCATCTCCTGTTGGATTTGCAGCTTTGCGTGATTTATATTTTGAGCACACATACGAAAAAAAAATAAAAATTCCACCAAGATCTTTTAATTTTGAATATAATTCAACACAAAAATAAATACTTCATCCTAATTTATTATACAATTACAAAATTACCCCTCAACTTATTATATTTATATATTATTTTTTATTTTATATATTTGTTAAATATATAAAAACAAAATTTATTTATATGTAAATATTACAACTTTTTAACTTAGATTTATTTATTATAAAAGATTTTTAATTTAAAATAAATAAATTTGTCATCACTATATTTTTACAAAGTATAAATTTAATATGAGTATTATAATAATTAAAATTAATTGACAAATATTCAATTATGATTTTTTTTTGTTAAATCATATAAGAGGTCCCAACTCCCAAGGTCATAATAGGAAAGTTAACGTCCTTGTCATTAAGTCAATGGTCATATTAATATTTTAATAAAAAATTGATAAAATTAATAATTATATTAAAATATCAAATCAAAATAATATGAAAATTAAATTTGTATACATTATAATATAAGAATTAAATTTTAAATTTTGATAAAGTATAAGGGTCTTTTATATGATTTGACCTTTTTCTTCAATTAATCTTTTTCATATTATATCTTACATTTTTTTTTAAATCATTAGATACCAAAATAATATAATTTGCTTAATATATTTATTTTATTATACATATTAATATATTAACATACTTATAATTGCAAGTTTTTATAATTGTAAGTTTTATTTTATATATTGTATATTGTATCTAAATTTTTTATGATTGATAAAATTGATATATTTTAAGATAAATAAAAAATATTATTATAAAATATTATTTTATATGAATATTTGAGAATATTTATTTTTTAAGAGTAAAATAGTCTTTAAATGAGATTTTTAATATGGAAGGGCCTAATTGTCATGCAAAATTAAAAAATTTGGGGTGAGTTGTCTATTTTTTTTTAAATAATAGACTTTTGTTGAATTATATTCAAAACTAAAGTACCTGAGTGGAATTTACCCAAAAAAAATAGAACGGGAACTTGTGCAATCATTCGTTTACTAGGGGGCAGCTATTTTATTGAAAATCCTTAAAGTTCTGCTACATAAGATGCAAGCAAAAGTGTTCAAACAAATAATAAAAATTGTTATAATAAATCAGATTGCCTTTCTTTTTATTAACTGTTTTTAGAGTTGCCCTCATTCGTTCAGATATTCATATATGGGATTACTGCTATAATTAGTCTTGGAGACTGTAAATAACAACAGGACTTCTCACAGAGTAGCCAGTGCTTTTCCATTCAAGTGAAGCTGAACGCACTGAAAATGAGGTGCTTTCCACGGGCTTTGCCTTCACCACAACCTTAAAACTCCGCTTCTGCAAGAGACGAGTGAAGAAGAGACGAGTGGGCTTAACTGCGATTTCCACTCCTTCGGGAGCCTTAATGGTAGCATTGTATACAGATGGAGGACCTACATTGGTGACTGTTCTCCAGAAAACACAGGTGGTTTGCGGTTTGCCATTTTCCATCTTAAGCTGCATTGATGGGTAGTTAAGAGCATCATAGCTAAATCCATGAAGCAACGAGGAGCAATTTATGGATTTTGTACCAACTAAATGTGCTATAGATGATCCAGTGTAGCCTTCATGGCATAGGAACTGTACATAAGACATCTCGTCCATGTCATAGACTAGGCCAGGGTTTACGGCTCTGGTAGGATTCAATTGACCAGCACCATAGGCAAATTCAGCATCCTTATTCACCCTCCGGCTCATTGGTTTTGCTCCATAGATTATTAGTATATAACAAGGAAGTGTAAGCTATGGTAACATTAAATCGTGAATTAAGTTTGGAATGATTAACAGGTTTCTATCTTTACCTGTGGTCATGATTGCAGATTTGATCGCAGCGGCTGTCCAAGTAGGGTGAAATGATTTTACATAGGCTGCTACACCAGCAACATGTGGAGTGGCCATGGAAGTACCAGACATGAAAATGAAATCTGAATGTTGGTTGTCACCTTTTAGCCCAGTGAGTGAATTCATAGGAGTGTAAGCAGCCAAGATTTCAACTCCAGGGGCTATAATATCAGGCTGTATCAGGGTAGAACAGAAAGCCAGAGACTATAGGTTAAAAGCACTTGATAGTCGAGGGACAAGAGGGTCATCGGAAAAGGAAAGATTCTCCGGTTTAAAGACAGAATTCAGAGCTTATACCTTAAGAAGATGCCGTGAGCCTGGATTTGGACCCCGAGATGAAAATGAAGCAACAAATGGAGCAGAAACATTAACTTCGTGGGACCGGTATATCACTGCTGAAGGTGATCTGGCAATCGTGGCAATAAAAGGGCAAGTAATTTTTCAATATGAACATTCTTTAAGGGCGCATTTCAGCATTTGTCATTGTCAACAGTGAATCATTTAAGAACATCAATTTTCATACCTTGTGGAATGTATATAATTTTCTATAGTTTCTCCATCATTTGCATTCACCACGGTTGCTGGTGCCATAAAAATTTGAGCAGTGTCAAGGTCTTGCTCACTTTCAACAAGAGTCCCTATTCCTCCAATTCCTTTGACGACAGAATCAGCACCCCATTGTCCTAGCGTGCAGTAGACAAGCCTTCCCTTGACCTTGCCAGGATCCAATGTGTTCTCAAAACAGAACCTGGAATTACAATTAAGCTGTCAGTTTTTTTTCCCCTTATAGAAGATCTCTATGCAAAATGCTCAAGAACAAAGTACAACCTTGCAAATTCCTTGCTTTCTGAGTTCTTGGCAACATCACCTCCGCTGACAATGGGGTAAAGTTTTTCCTTTGGCTCAAATGTGTTAATTCCAATTCCCTGCTTATCAATACGGTACGACTTCAGGACAATATTCACAAAAACATTCAGAATATGTCTGTAATTGATAATATTTTGGCCGTAGATATCAATTATCATAGACAATGGAAGATTTTTACATTTAAGCGTTCATACCTGAGCTATGGTTTCAGTTCTCAATTGTAGTTTTTAATAAGAATTTTCCAAATTTGAAGTTCAATGATAATGCCTTGACCAGATGCAAATAAAACTCACCGAGAAACTTTTTCCATTACCCAACTTGACTGTACTCCTAAACTGTCTGTCAATCCCACTGGCTGCCACAGTAACAAGCCATGGGGAGTGGTTGGACAATGAACCCAAGCTGGGACCATCATTCCCAGCAGAAGCCACAGTAATAATTCCCTTCTTCATAGCGTGAAACGCACCAACTGATATGGAATCTGTCACGTAATTCTGAATTGGCCCACCAATAGATATTGATATAACATCCACACCATCACTGGTAGCATCTTCCATTGCAGCAAGAATGTCCATATCTGAACATCCTGAGCTGACCCAGCACACTTTGTACATGGCTATCCTAGCTGATGGCACTGCACCACGAGCTGTGCCTTTGGCTAGCCCATATAGACTTGCATTTAGGACTAGGTTGCCTGCTAAAGTTGATGAGGTGTGGGTGCCATGGCCATCCACGTCTATCGGTGATAAAATGTCAGCTGGATCGGGATTGCCATCAAGCTTGAAGTATTTAGCTCCTATAATCTTGCTTTAGAACCCAATGAAGGTGGTCCAAGAGAAAGTATAAAAAACATTAAACCATGAAACTGGAACATTACCAATATTATTAATCCATATTAATTTCACTTTCGAAGTCTTGGTGATACCCAACTTAATGCATTTCAACACGTCTAATGTGGTATTTTCACAAAATTATAAAAAATAAAATAAAGCTGCTACTTAAAGAATGATCGTTTTCAAGATTTTTTTTTCTTGCTAATTTCTTTAAAACGCGGTTTATTAACTAGTGAGACTGGAAGCAATGGATTTTCGCATTTAAACAGACATTACTTAGTATTTCAGGAAGTTAATTTCTAATTTTCAATTCAATTCATCATTTCTGCTATTGATTTACAAATAAATTTTATGATTCATGTATTTGTTTCAAGTTTATTTCATGTCAAATATGTATAAAACATTAAAATTATTATATCAAATTTATATGAACCCATTAATTACAAAATACAATTTTTTATTTTATTAAATTGTTATAAAATTTTAAACAATATTGTTTTATGTCACGTTTAAAATCGTCATATCAGCAAAATAAGCTACAAAATTATGCTATGTTAAACTAATTTGAAACCCATTATATTGAAAAGTCCATCGTTTTTACTTGTTGCATCCTGAGAAATTTGCAAAATGGCCGCATGTTCCTTTCCATTTGGAGGGTGGTGGGCCGAATCCGTCATCCTTAAAGCTCTTTGACTGAGGAGTGATCCCTGCCAGAACAATATATGTTTGCTGATCGTGTTGAAACACATCATGGTGTTAAAAAAATGCTGATTATGCTGAATAAATTAAGAAAGTTTTTATCAACCTGTATCAAGTAAACCCACAACTATGTTTCTCTCCAACTTCAAATTTCTTCTAGCTGTCAAAGGAAGTCCAATGAAGTCCCATGATTTTGTTGTGTGTAGCTTGTGATACCGATTCAGAAACACAGAAATCACTTCATCCATTTCTAAGCATTTGAGAAACAATTTAAGCAAATCTCAGTGACCAAAAAAAGAAGGGAAATTAAACGAACAAACAATGAATTTCATGTACCCAAACTTCATGTACCCATTAACTTTTCAGCTTCATCTTTGGATAGCTTGGCAGCAAAAGCATTGAAGCTTTTTGTGTAACCGTAAACCATGGACTCTTTGGCAGCATGTTCACTGTTCAAAATATATTACAAACATTAGGCATCTAACAGGGAGATTGCCACATTTAAAGCCATGGTGGCAGCTTGAATTTCAGAAATTTCTTGCTGACTGCTATTAAGTTTCAAGCTAGAAATATAAAGTTAACCTCACCAAAAGAACTCAAAGAAGAAGAACATTCTCGTTTCATATGTGATGAAAATGCATGCACGTTTCAGCATATATGAAAGTAACGTTCGGGGTAACTTACCTTCCCTTGACAGAGGAGAGAAGGTGCATGTATTTTTGAACTGCAGATCCTTTGCTCACTCGACTCTCTCTCAAGTAAACAATATAAAAATTCTGTCACATTAAACACTTTATAATTAATGTCACAAACTTAATGATCAGTTTAGAGTAAAGACAATATAAAAAAATGGAGAATGCACCTTTGCTTCTTCTCCGGATGCAACAGTATTATTCAGTAATGTCAAACTCGAAAGAAGAAAAAGCTGATAGGTAAGAACTGAGCAACCAAATCTCACTTTTGCCATGCTAACAGGTTTTCAGAATTGCCCTGTTAGATTCATCAAGCTCTAGATATATATATATATATATATATATATGCTTTATATTAGTAACACACATTAAAGTCTATTGACAGGTTTAGCTGGACTGACAACAATAACAAAATGGGCAATGGATAAGAACAACAAACATATACTTCACTTCATGAACTCACATTGCTGGGAGTGCTGGAGTATATGGGGAACCTTGAAAGACAACAAAATTCTGGTGCAATTATGGACCAGTCAATGTCACATTTAGCTTGCCATTGCTTCTTCTGAATATTTCAACGAGTTACTGTTTTTGCAATCTCACCAGTCACCACCCTCCATAATTTTGTAATGCTAATATAGATCTTTGATGAAAATGTTGTCTTGAGCAAACGTTTAATTTGTGTTTATGGACTTCTTTCAATTAATATCAAATATTAAATTGAGAAGTTGCTTGAAAACAAAAGCCTTGATTTCCAGTTCAAGCAATTAAGAATGAATAGAATTGAGATTAGCTTTAAGCTTCCTAAACGGAATGGTCAACTCAAAATCATTTTGCTTAACTTGAAATGTTTAGCCTCTCCATAAAAAAAAAAAAAAAAAGTGCTGTTAAATGTACTTATATATTTTTTTTATATTTCAATTTTTTAAATTTTTTTATAAGTGAAATTATTTAATTATTTTTTTCACAATATTCAAGAGTTTTATAATTTTTTGAAAATAAATTTTTTAAAAAATCATATAATTTTTATAAAGTAAATTTTTAAAAAATCATAGTTTTTCCATTTCCAAATGATTTTTCTGAAATTAATTTTTGAAAAATCATAAATCTTTTAAAAATTTAACTTTCTAGAAATTTATTTTTGAAAAGGTTTATAATTTTTTAAAAATTTATTTTCCAATGAGTTTAACTCTTTTCGTAAATTTATTTTCAAAAACTTCTGTAAAAAAAATGATTAAGTAATTTTATTTATAAAAAATTATTTAAAAAAAATGCAGTGAAGAGGAAAGGCCAGGTAAATTTAGCAACACTAAAAAAAATGCAAAAATTATACGAAATTACCAATTTGCCTAAGATAATATCCCGACAACCTTAAACGCGTCTCCATGGCTCCATCCGTCCCTTTGAAACTGACAACCTTAAACCCTACCTGCCCTCATGATCCTAACTCGCCTCTCCGGCTTAAAACAACCGCCACTCTTAACCACCGTCACGCTCCCTACTCGCCACCTTCTCTCCACCTCCCCTGCTGCCTCAAAACTCCGCGACCATTACTCCTTCCAACCACCACCATCCCTTTCTCCGGACCCCCAAAAAACTAACCCCCGTCCAAAACCGAACAAAAGGCAGAAACCCAAGTACCGACCCCCATCTTCGCTGGATCAGATAAAGCCAAAACATTCGGATTTGCCCTTCGATTTCCGGTTCAGTTACACGGAGAGTAGCCCGATTGTGAGGCCCATTGGGCTGAGAGAGCCAAAGTATTCGCCGTTCGGACCAGGTCGATTGGACCGCGAATGGACCGGGGTTTGTTCCCCTGCTGTGGACCCAAAGGTGAAGTCGGTGGAGGGTTCGGAGGATCCGACATTGGAGGCGAAGAGGAAGCTGTTGAGGGCCACTACTCAGGGGACACCTCTCACTGAGGCTGAGAGAAAGTTTTTGGTAGAAAAGTGCCAGAGCAATAGAACTAAAAGGCAAATAAATTTGGGTATTGCGTAAAGTTTTCAATTTTATTCCTTTTAGTTATTTTTTTTTCCAGTTCTGGTATTGTATCTTCATGATATATCTTTTTTTTTTCTTTGGATTTTGGATTTTGTATTGGTTTGATTTTTGGGTGTGAGCCTTTAGTTTGTATTATCAATTGAGGTGTTATTTGGTTTAAGCTTCTTGTTGAACTGGATAGAAGGTTATAGAAGCTTGGTGATGTTGCTTACTAGTTTCAGAATATTGATTGCTTGAAGAATATAAAGCAAAAGCAAGGAATTGAGAATATGAGTTATAAATGTGCTTTGAAGTCACAAATTAGAAGAAAGCGAAATTATCAAAGAAGGTGTTTAGAAATTTTAGTTTATTTGTTTGTCACCCTGTTGTATATAGGGATTAGGGAGATTGGTTTTCAACGGTCTAAAACTCATGTAGGAAGCTGTGAGGGAGTGTTGAAACTCTTGAACGAGAAGAAATGCTATTTTATACATGGTGAAGCTCCCTTTTAAGTGGTTTGGCATTGTGATTGGATCAATCCCTTTTAAGTTCTTTTCATTGCATTTTCCATCATTAATCTCACACGTTGTCTTATAGCATGGCATTCTGTTGTTTTCATTTGTAGGGAGAGATGGTTTAACACATAATATGCTGAATGATATTCATAATCATTGGAAATTGGCTGAAGCAGTCAGGATTAAGTGTCTTGGGGTCCCCACTGTTGACATGAAGAATGTGTGCGCCCAGCTTGAGGTACACGGTTTACCCCTAATAGAGAGCATAGACTGTACAATATGCTCAGCTCTAGCATTTTTAAGGGAAGGAATTTCCTTTTCATTACAGTATCTGTATGTCTTTAATTATGATGAGCTTCCCATGCTATGCTCACCTGTATCTCATTACGTGTTTTGTGTTGACTATTGATCGATATAATATCATGTACTAGTTTTGTCCTATATCATGAATCGAAGTATTATATATGCAAATAACTATGAGATATTTACTCTTGTCACGAATTTTAAATAATCACTGCAGGATAAAACATATGGAAAGATCATCCAGCGGCATGGTGGTACACTTATATTGTACAGAGGACGGAATTATATGCTGCAGAAAAGGCCTGTAATTCCTTTAATGTTGTGGAAACCTCAGGAACCTGTTTATCCCAAGTTGATTAAAACTACTATTGATGGTCTAAGTATTGAGGAAACAAAAGAAATGAGAAAGAGAGGACTGGCCATTCCTGCTTTAACAAAACTTGGTACTATTTGTTTCTTCCTGTTAGCTTCTAGTATTTGGTATTTTTTTTGTGATCATTTATTACAAATTAAATTTGCAGCCAAGAATGGCTATTATGGTAGTCTGGTACCCATGGTCAGAGATGCTTTTCTTGTCAGCGAGCTGGTGCGTGTAGACTGCACGGGACTTGAAAAAAGTGATTACAGGAAAATAGGCTGCAAACTCAGAGTAATGTTATATTTCTTTTAAAGATATGTTTGAACTCTTTGCTGAAGGGACTGACTGTATGATACTGGTTATCTGATCTGCTTACTATCATATAAATGCTGTCCTCCCTTTTATATTCAAGAACCTCTGAACTTGCAGTCCTAGTATACATATCTGCATTTTCATTAGCTTTTTGGGCTTTTTTCTGTGTGGAGGGAGATAAACCTACTATTCCACATTGTTTTTTGTAAAACCTTAATCCGTAAAGTGATTTACACGGGAAAAGAAGGAACAAGATAAGTTGCCTTTGGTTCCTTGCATTCACATATTAGCATCTTAATTCTGAAAATTTTATGGAGTTAGTACTGCTTCAATGACAATGCTATTGTGTATGTTTAAAGCTTACTATAATAGGAATGAAGATTGGTGAATATGAGATTTTTTTCTTCTTCTAAAAAGGACCTTTCCGTCTTGTGCACTTGTAAAGCTTTTCAATATTTAATTAATTAGCCAAATTTAATTTTCGTACAGGACCTGGTTCCTTGTATCCTTGTCACATTTGAAAAGGAGCAGATTGTGGTGTGGAGAGGAAAAGACTATAAGCCTCCAGAGGATGGGTCTTTCTTTACCAACCAAGAATTTTTTGATGACTCGAGTTGTGTCGTGGGGAGATCTGATAGCTCCAATAGCTCCAATGAGAGTAATCATCAATAGGTCTTCATCGGTGTTATATGTTCACCCCAATTGTAATTATTTCTGTCTTCTCACGTATCTAATCACAACTTCAAAGCAGATTGGAAAAGATATCTGCTGTTTATTGCATAGACTCTTTCGGATTCTCACAACTTTAAAGCAGATTGTAAATCATTGCACATGCACTGTATTTGTCAGAGTTTAGATCTGGAATATATAATGCCATCAACCAGGATTGCATTTTTTATTTTATTTTATTTTTTAATAGTATTTTGTCTTAGCTTTCATTCTTTCCCCTTGCATGAATGATAGTAGTTTCCTATTTTATCTAATAGTTTGTTAAAAAAAAATCCAACTGTTAGGAGAATAGTGCCCAAGTGCCAACTTATTTTTTATGCCTGATTTATGCAAAACTGTAAGTTCTTGTAAGCTTGCCTGTAAAGTTCATATGTTGTTGAGATTTGCATAGGCAATGTGAAGGGTCTGGTAATCCTGTTTGAACATTATTGAACCGGTTTTGGATTTATCTTGTGTGTCTGTTCTCTTATGTCGTAAACCTATGGTTTTTTATGCAAAAACTAGATGTAAGTAACCAACCAAACACCCCAACATCAAGTTGTTCGAATGTCAAAGCAATTCAATTCTCCTAATCTGTTCCTATTGGCATGTCGGCATCAAAAAGAGTAAGTCATTATCGAAATGTGATAGACCTCTTGACCAGATATCTTGTAATATTTCTTTTAGAATTTCATATTCGTTAGAACGTATGGTCTCTTTTAATTTTCTAATTTCCTAGACCCCTTGAAAGATCTCATATTTTTTAAAATCCCAGATTTTCTTCTTCTTGGTGGTTGTTGAAAAGCTTTTGTAATGTGAGAATTTGTTAGAAGAATGCCTTCTTATTTCCAATTCTCCACGCATTGGAAACAACACATTGGCTCAAAGCTCCAATGGCGATAGGGATGAATGCCCGCTGTCCTCTCCCGCTCGTCCCCGTCAGCACATCAACACTCGATTTTTCGCAATAAAACATAGTGTTTGATGCTAGCTCAAGTATTTGCAAAAAGCTTTGCGCGTGAAAACATGACACGAAATGGTTTATACGCCATCCGACAAGCAGCTGATATAGGAGCCACAATCGCGTTGGATAGGTAAGGTGGGGGTGTCCCCATTATCAAGTAGTGTCTCTTTAGTTTTCCCTCAACTAGTTGCCCCTGGTTATGGCTTAGTGCCTATCAGGATCACGTGTTCTTGTTTTCCCTTTAAATTCATGCACCTCATTGGGCAGATTAGTATGAGCTCGTTTATCCTTCTTCCAAAACTATTGGTGGTTGATCCCAGAGCAGGATTCACTTTGCCATTGGTTGGAAGTTGGAACCCCTCCAACAGGCAACACCAGCCATATAAATGTAATAATTTTAGTATTGTCGAGTCCTAGACTTTAGTCTTTGCAGATGAATGATGATAACCTTGAAAAAAGCTAGCATTATCAATGGATCCACTCCACTCTTTTCGGGTAATGGACTAATGGTCCTGTATCCAGATGGAAATTGCAAGTTTGAACCCCACGCATATTGGATATGTGTATCAACCTAAAATAAAGTCGATCGATTCTAGTTATCTCCTTTCATTAGATGATAATTCTGTCTTGCTTTCTTATTACGGTTCTTAAGTGATCCATTCTCCTAAACCAATCTTCTAACCTCTGACTTTCAAACAGCATTTAACACGGAAATGACTTGAAGAATTTATTTTGTTATTTTTTGTCCAAAATTTAAAGCAAAAATCAAGTACTAGTACTATTAATTTATGGAAATTTCTTTATTCATTTAATTACAATTTATATGAATGCTAATATTTTTGGTTTTATTTGATAAGGTGGATTGAAAATTTTTTAAGAAATTAAAATATAAAAAAATATGTTTTTTCCTTTTATGATGTGTTTGATTAGAAAATAATTTTTTTTTTTTTAAAAAGTAATTTTCTTTCAATCCATTACTTTGTAGAATTCAAAAATGAAAATTTTATTATTTCACCAAATTTTTTTTTGTAAAATAAGATGAACAAATAAATATGATAAACAATTTTGTAATATGCAACATTTACTCATATCTCTTTTTTTCAGTTTAAAATAATTTATATTTGTGAATAATATTATATTTTTTATTTACTTTTCTCTCACTTTTTTTTTTCTTATCAAACAAACTTAAAATTCATTTTATTTTCACTTTTCACTATGTCCTATTTATCATTTCATTTTTCTACTCGACCAAACACACCTTAAGTGAAGTTATTTATTAAATAATAATCTTAATAAATACTACCAGAATACTTAATAAAAATGCAAAAAAAAAAAAACCATAAAATGAACTAAAATTTTCACAACAGCTATGTACAATAATATCTAGAAAATTAATTTATCTCCAATCATCCTCTTTCTTTTTCATAGTGGTAGAATTAATTAATTTAATTTCAAAATGTGAAAGCATCATTCAAACAACGGCATAAGGACAAATCCCTAAATAAGAAAGTATTTAAGATAAGATTAAAAAAAATAATAAAAACCTAATTATCCCACGTGCAAATCACGTGGCGTGACATATAAAATCAACACACTATTTTTTGGTCAGAAACCAAACAAATTGAACTCCACCCGATAAACACCTACTCCCACTTTCCTTCACTCCTCGCCTTTTTCTTCATCCATAAAAAAAAAAAATTCTGAAGGAAAAGACCCTATTCGCTGATCTTTGATTGAGTAGAATGGCAGAGCATGATCTAACGTCACGTCTCCTCTCTCCTCGATCGTCCGATCAACCCCACACTGTCCTCACCGTCCACGACGGTGAAGACTCTGAACCCTCCGATCGACCGCCATCTAATCAACAATACTCCATCCAAACCCGCATTCCTTATCACAATCATAATCACAACGGAATCAACAACGAGAACGGCCACGTCAGCTGTCAGAATCCGTACGAGTTTCTCGGGTCGGTCGGGTTCTCGGTTCCGGCACCGAGCACCGTTGATCCGTTTCGAAACGGGACGCCGTTTATTTCCGGGGTTTACGAAATGATAAAGATTGTCCTGTGTTTGCCAATTGCTTTAGCGAGATTGGTACTGTTTGGGGCGTGTTTGGCAGTTGGTTATATCGCGACCAGGATAGCGTTAGAAGGGTGGAAGGATAAGCAATACCCAATGCCCAAATGGAGGTCTAGAATCATGTGGGTCACTAGGGTTTGTGCTCGCTTTATTCTTTTCTCTTTTGGGTAAGTTAGAAAAAAAAAAAAAAAACCTCTTGAGTGAAATTTTTCTTATTACTTTAATATAAGTTGAATTACTTTTTTTTTTAAATTTTCTGTTAATCTTTTCCTGTAGCTATCAGTGGATTAGAAGAAAAGGAAAACCAGCTCCAAGAGAGATTGCTCCAATTGTTGTATCTAATCATGTATCATATATTGAACCCATTTTTTATTTCTATGAATTATTTCCGACAATCGTTGCATCAGAGTCCCATGATTCCATGCCCTTTGTTGGAACTATTATCAGGGCAATGCAGGTAATCTAAAATCTTAATTTAGATAATCTTTGTTATATATTTTCTATTTTCTTATTCCTGTACTGAACTTTTCTTTTATCGATTGTAGGTGATATATGTTAATAGATTCTCACCAGCATCAAGAAAGAATGCTGTAAATGAAATAAAGGTAGAAAGTTTCTATGATATCTGTATTTTGGCTTGTTTGACATAGTTATTTCGAAACTCCTTAGAAGTCGAGGAAATGAAGAAAACTATAGAAATGTTTGTTCAGTAATGAGTCTAAGTTAATACTAATGCAGTAAATTTATATGATTTTTATCAATTTATAAGCTATTTGATACAGAAATGTGCTTTCAAGGATCTGAATACAGAGAAGGGCTTCATGCGATAAATTTCCTAGAGTGCTACTATTTCCTGAGGGAACCACGACTAATGGGAAGGTCCTTATTTCATTTCAACTTGGTGCATTCATCCCTGGTCACCCAATTCAACCTATAATTGTTCGTTATCCTCATTTACACTTTGATCAATCTTGGTAGGACTTAATTTTTTTGGTCTTTTCTTTTCTTTTTGTTCTTTTTATTTTCTCCATGCACTTGCTAAATACTTTTGATGTTGTCTTGTTTAGGGGGCTTGTATCTTTGGCTAAGCTCATGTTTAGAATGTTTACTCAGTTTCATAATTTTATGGAGGTATGTCATCTAGCTTATTTAATTCAAAATTTCAATATTGTGTTCCACAGTTCTGACAATTTATGTTCTGTTTTGTTAATAGGTAGAATATCTCCCTATCATTATGCCCCCTGATCATCAAAAACAAAATGCAGTCCACTTTGCTGAGCGGGTGAGTCTTTGCTTGGTATTGATCTATTTGTTACTTTGTCTCACCTTAATGTGTTTATTTTTAGTTTTTAAAGAGCAAAAACCCAGTGTACATATTATGGGAATTTTTTATTTTTTTTATGGTGGATGCTAAGAAATTTTAGTCACTATGGATGTGTTTGCTACGTTAGATTATAGTAGGATAGAATAAGATAATATTATGAATAGGATTATATTAAATAATGTCATCTTATCTTGTGTTTGATGCGTGCAATGATTAAGATAGGATAATTTATTTTTCGGTTAAAATAATCCTTCCTCAAAATTTATACAATTTAAATTATTGATGTAATTTTTAAGGGTATAATAGGATATGCAAGTTCAATCATGGATTAAAAATAATCCTTTCCACTTTGGGGGAATTGAATCATCCTATGCCAAGAGGATGATTAATCCTCCTTACAATTCTATCCCTTTTTTAGATACAAACCAAACATAGTATAGGATGATTATCATCCTATCCTATCATCATCCTATGCATCAAGTGTGACCTATATGTCCTGGTGCTTGACTTTCATTTCATAGGGTTGCTTGTGAATCTTTACAGATATGTTGAAGTAGTCTGTATGTTTTTCATTGTAATGTTGGGTTTCGTAGATTATTGTTTAGTTCATATGCGTGTGGGCAGACTGGTCAAGCTATGGCAAGTGCTCTCAATGTTGTACAAACATCTCATTCCTATGGCGATTTAATGCTTCTCATGAAAGCTGCTCAACTACAAAAGGTTTGTGCGTCTCTTAGTGATTTTTTATGAACTTTAAAATTGATAAAAATTGAGTTAACTTGGTGAGAAATTGGGGTCCCATGACATGTGAATCATCTTGAAGTGCAATTGTCAGACAATTTTTCTTCTTATGTAGTAGAATAATTGGGAATGAAGCTTGCAGAAACTAGGTACTTGTGGAAAATAAAGATTTTTAGTTACGATAAAACATCTAGAAGATATGTGATTGTGATTTGGTAAATTATGTATGCTATAAGAGTCTTTATTAAGCCTTCTTTTATGTTTCTTAAGAAAAGAAATTTGCCTTTTTTTTTTTTTTTACTAATGTATTCCTTAGTTTTAAAAAGTTTTGATCTTCTCTAAAAGTATTATTGGTGAAGTAAACATGATTGCTGAAAGAACTGTGCCCAAAAAAGGAGGATGGGTAGGTTTATGTCTAAGTTGTCATAAAATCTATCTGACGGCTTTTGCGGTAAATATCAAGATGGAGAAGATACTGCATTTAATTTAGCACCATTGTTTAAGTTAAATCTATGTTACTCCTTGTCAGTGGATGTATTATTATACGAGCAAGTATACTGACTAATCAATTAATTCCTAGTGGTGCACCTCCTTTCTGGAATGATTGCTGGTAATGAACGACCTGGCATCTGAATATCTGTTTGTGTTAATTCTATACTGAGACTTGAATCCAATTGTCCTTTTATAGGTTGTGCTAATAGTTGTTTTAACATAAATTCTGCAGGAAAAGCCCTGGAGTTATATGGTTGAAATGGCCAGGAATGAATCGGTCAGTCAGGCATTGAAACTCTCCACATTTGAAACTTACCTTGTATTCTTTTGTCTTTCATGGAAATACATTTATATTTCGAAGTTGATTTAACCTTGTCTACATTGGTTTCTATGAAGATGCTTACACCTACATTTTCTCCAAGCGCTTCCTCAGTCAGTAAACCATTTTATCTCATATTGCAGCTATACCATATAAGCAGCTTGGAGGCTGTGGACTTTCTGGATAAGTTTCTTTCTATGAATCCTGATAACAGGTATTGCTAAAGCATTTATGATGAGAAAAAGTACTTTTTTTCTAGTTATTAAGCCAACCAAGAGTAGCGGTTGCTAGACTTGTAGAATTTCACCCCTTCTAATTAAGAAACACTGAGGGTATTTGTTCCTTTCTTTTTCTAGTAATTTTTGAAGTTTTGAATCATCTCTCCTTGCAGTGGTTGTGTTAAGCGTCATGATTTTTTGAGGGTTTTACAGCTAAAGAAGGCGTGTACACTTTCTGAAGAGGTCAGTTGCCCTTACTATGTCAATGGATTTTTGAATGTGCTTTACTTTTAAATATTTTCTACATATTTGCTCAGTTTTGTGACATTTTTTTCCTTTCTCTTGTAACGTGATTATTATCTGGAATACAGATTTTTGGGTTCCTTGATGTGGAGAAGAATGGATCAATTACATTTAAGCAGGTATTTCAACTGCCCGTTATTACCACCCCTACAAATTTTCTACTTCTGTATATTTGTGTCTTCATGTTAGCATCACGCTATAGTATTTTGCTACCTGACCATGGCCATCACGCTATATTTATAGCGTCACGCTCTATTTATGAAAAATGATAGTGCTTTTTTCTTTATTAAGTTTTGAATTTGTTTGTGGACTCAACTACTTTTCCTTCATGAATTATTGGACCTGTCACGTTGTCCTCTTCATTGTTGCCCATTACTGCTAATGCTGCTACTATATTGCCTTTTGAGATCAACTTTTAGTGGTCTGCTGACGTCCCAGTACCATACAGATGATAATTCTTTAGAGGCTTACTTTTCTTGGTGATATTCCTTGCATTGTCTTTTCCATTGATTTTTTAGATTTCTGTTGCACATGAATCTCACTACATCTTTTAGCATTATTATTGGTTGCCTTACAAAACAGAAAAACTATATTATTATTGGTTTCCTTATAAAGCAAAAACTAATCTTACCCTGTTTATTTTAATCTTGTTCTATATTTTGTATATTCACTGCTACTTGTCCCAAGCATCTGGATTCTCTCTGATGTTTGTGCCTGATATCACCTGAATTTTGGTCCAAAAGACACCTTAAGCAAATTTTGTTTCCATAGATGGCTCAATATACAATTTTCTATTGTTCCTGGTAGTTCTTATTTGGATCAGCTCATGTAATGAAGCAACCACCATTCAGGCAAGCCTGTGAACTAGCCTTTGCTGAATGTGATGTGGGGGGAGATAACTACTGTTCGAAGGAAGAAGTATGTGGTTCTTTCTTTGCTTTCTCTTAGTTTGTACTTTGTTCATTTTCATCAGTTAACCTTTATGCATTTATGCGCAGAGCCTTAACTCTTTTGTTTCTGATTGCTTTTGGATCAGTTGGCAGACATTCTTAGACAGGCAATTCCAGATCTGAATGAAGATGAGGTAAATATGTATAGATTGGTTGTGAAATAAAGTATATTTTTGGCTGTCATTTTCTGACTTGACTTGACCCGACCTATATCTGTGCCACTGGCTACATGTAGGTCGATGGGTTGTTCACTCTTTTTGATGCGGACAATGATGGGAGAATCAGCGTAGATGATTTCCTTTGCTGCCTGAGAAAGAATCCTTTGCTGATAGCGCTGTTCTCACCCAGATTGCTGCATAGAGACTTTGTAAAAATCTAATGATTGAATGCTCACACGAACACGAACACGAACACGAACACTTATCTCTTAAATGTATTGATTTGTACTGATTTCCTTCATCCTTTTTAATTAATGTTTATGATCATAGATTCATAGTTATTAAAAATCAAATTAACATAAATGAGTCTTTTTTTCTCCATCTTGGACCTCTCTTCCTGCGTGTCAGGCATGCAACAAGAGTTCCATCGTCGTTATCAGAAATGGATTCCCACTTTTTGGCTTTTACATTCGTGCTTTTAACCAGGGCTAACTCCTTTCCCTTTCTCTTTTTGATCGAAGGGCACAAAACAAAGAAAAACGAACATGAGTATTAGGTAGAAAGTTAAACCACAATGAAGTGTGAGTGTAGACATCAAGAGTTAGAAAGATCAGTAAACAGGAGAGTCCACTCTGGACTTGCTCTCTTTGCTTAAATTCACACCTCTTGGCTACGAAAAGCTTCCCACTTAGAGGGCTCAAACTGAAAAGAAATCCTGCTTTGTATATAGACTTTTCAATGCAATTGCACATCCAAATTATCATATTTCCTTTTCACAACAAAAACAAAAGTTGAGTGGTGAGAATTCTCTCCTAAAATCCAGCAAGAAAATCCCATCTTAGATATCCCTTTTCCTTCTTTTTTCTAATGCAAAGCTTTTCCTTCTGCTTTTCAGCTCACAGTTTCCCCCATTATTTGCATCTCAGTTTAAATGTCACATCTGATTTTGTTATTTCGCATGGGGGACCATCATCCAGTCATCTACCATGGATCATATTCCCACTTATTTATCACATTGGTTAATGCACTAGAATTAAGCCTCCCCACCCCCCAATAAGGCTAAAAATGAACAGTTCACTATTTGGCCTAAATTTGAGGACCAGCAATCCTTAAATACAGACATCTGAAGATTGCGATCCTCCAACGCTTAGAAATTAGGGTCGCTAAGGTCCTCTTTTACAGAACCCATAACTCTTTTTAATTCGGAAAATTTTCTATTACTACAATGCGATGTTGTTGTAGGGGCCATGATGTAATCTCACAAATCCCAAAGTGAAATATGGACCCTTTGATTGAAAGCTGATGGGATTAAAAAAAAAAAAAGGGAACGATGGCACGCTTTGTGGTCCCCTTGTAGCAGACCTTAGCCTTGATTGCTAAGTTCAGGAATGAACAAATTGGTAAGGGCCCCTGGAGTTCTGGACAAACTAACCTAAGCCAATGCCCACAAACGGCATAAAAGAAAACCCATGAAAATCTTACTGACAAGGGAAAAGTGTCGGCACCATATACACGGTAATTAGTAAATTGAATTAAATATTAATAAAAAAATATATTTAAATCATATATTAAAAATAATAAAAAAATTATAAATAGTAAGATTTAAAATTTAAATTTATTAAGTTAATTTTTAAATTCAATATATTTAGTGCTATGAAAGTATGATGTGAAATTATTATAATAATAAAAATAGTAATAAAATATAAGGGTATCTGATTTTTTAAGAAATCCTATCATGATTATAAGCTAAATCCCTGAATCAATTTATGAATTATTTTGAGTGTTAACAGTATCATATCATCAGCCTGTGGCTCTAATTCCTCCCACCAACACAGCTACTTGCCCAATTTGCCATTCCACCAAAAGGCATCATTCCATTTGCATTTATAAAAAGCTCTTTTCAACAATTTTATGATGAATGACTGTACTATGTTAGATATTTCTAAAATAAATATGGGAAGTTTGAAAAGAAAAAAAATTCTTGTTTAAACAAAAGGAGTGGAAGTCTTAGATTAGAACGGATAAATAAATAAGTGAATTTTTATTTTTAAATAATTAATATATATTATTATTTAATAGCACTTGACAGTTGGTAATTACAATTTAATTAATTAATAATAAATTATTATTTTACTTTAAGTTTAATTTTTAAATTAAATTGAAGTTAATCAACTGCTATGTCTGGATAATTATTTTGTCCTAAGCAAACAATTTTGTTTGGACAATTCTGTACAAACAAACAGACATTAATTGTAGTTAAATAAAAACTCTTTTATATTTTAAAAAATATAATAAAATAATTAATAAGTAGGTTGTTCAATCGATTAAGTTCGTTTTTAATAAAGAGTTTTTAAATTCAAATTTTATCGATGATTATTTGTTAAAATTATCTCAAATATATAACTTACAATTATTTATTTTAAATTATTAGATATAACACAATTTATCATGATTTAAAAAATTAAACAATCTATCTATTATTAAATTTTTTTCTTACAAAAAAAAATAGTAAAACAACTTACATTGCCTTCAAATAATTCTGAAATTCTTTTATAATGTTTTTATTGTTTATTAAAAAATCTGATAGTCATATTATACGGTGAATATTTAATGAATTAATTTTATTAATATAAAATACGATCAATCATTAACTTTTATTATATCTTCAAAATTTATTGTTTGTAACTTTTTTTTTATATATTTATTAAATAAATAATTTCATAGGGCAAAAATAGCCTTAGAACCTTTCATTAAATTTCTTGATCTTTCAGACATGTGTTCTACTATAGTATTACTATAATACTTATTCTTTTATATAATATTTTTGTTGGTGAAAATATAGTGTTTAGATGTAGAGATGACATATTTTTTTTTAATGACATTTTTTTTTATTTTGTTCTTACCCATATCTAGATTTTTTCAAAACTTTTATTAATCTCATAAAAAGCCCCATCTAATAATCACATCTTTTAATGAAAATTTTAAGGTTTCGAATTTCCCTATTTTTCTTTATATATATATATACTGTTAGAAATATAAAATTATTGACACAAAAATGTTACCATAAAACCAAATTAAAAAATTTAATTATAAAAAATATATTAAATTTCGCTATCCAAAGTCCTTGTTGGTAGATTCAAATGCCCATTTACTTATAGCTCACCACACAAAAGAAAGGCCAAAAATTCAGTGGGGTCTCATCTCGAATTCACTAAGTAGCAACGTGAATGCTCAAGGAGGCTCGTTCCTCTTTCGTTTGTTTCTTTTTTTTTTTTTTTTGTTAAAAGTTCAAAAATATCTCAAAATTATAATTAATTAAACTTTTAATTTTTTTATACAAAATATAATCATATGAGAAATTTAATTAATCAATTTATAAGTTATAGTTAATTGACCCATTAAAAATTATGTCAATTGATATTTTATTTAATTTTTATATATATTAATTATATCATATGATAAATTTTAATGTATTTTATTAATATTATATAAAATTTTATTTTATGTGATAAAAAATTGATAATATTATTTTTTTTATTTGAATAAAAAATTAATTGAATATAAATAGATATAGGATAGATTAATTATGACAACAAATTAAAATTTTAAATAATTTTATAATTTAGTTACAATCATTTAACTTTTTTATTAGGCTTTTCACAAAGATAAAAAAAAGTGATTATCAGCACTTTGTGAGCTTTCGAAACGTGATTGGTCATCTGTGTACGGAATTGTACGGAAGACGTTGACGTCTTTCTAACATTGTACCATCCTCCATTGCCATTTTTAACTTGGCACTGTTTTATTTTTTAACTTCAACTACAAAATAAAGGAAAAAAATAAAAAAAAAAAAGAAGAAGAAAGAAACCAGATTCTTAATGTACTAGCATATGCGTATAAATTTTATTTTTTTGTTTGTTTACAATTTCTTTAGACGTTTCCACCAAGTTGGCTCCTTTCCGTTTCTCTCTCTTTAAACTACTGGGTATTTTTTAGTAAAAATTTTCCCTGTTTCATGTAAGTTCAGTCTTCTGGTTTTGTATAATGAGTTTACCAAAACAAGCAAAAGATAAGGTTTCAAACAAAGTGTTCTTTTTTTAATTTTTTATACAAATATAGGCTCTTTGCTTTACACCTGTGTTGAATATGGAATGTTTTGTTGTATCTTTGTTTGGGTGGGGTTTGAGGAAGCAAGAGAAAGCTAAAGGATAGATGAATAAGGAAAGGTTGAAGTGTGTTGGTTTTGGGTTCTTTTCTTTCTTTTTTTTTTTTTTTCTCCATTGGTGGTGTCTAAAAATGGGACTGCCCAAATAAATCAGTCACAATAAAATTTTCTAATCTTGGGTCTTCTGGGTATTCTTCATAACCATCAGATTTTCTTTAGTTTTCTTCCTTCTTTTGGTTCCTTTCTTCTCTGAGCTTTCTGGGTTTTTTTTTTGTTTGGTAAGTAAAGGCTAAGTTTGATGATCTACTTTCAACGTTTACTTCTTCTTTAAAGCCATGTTTGAAGGGATCAGATCACAAAATACATGTTTTAAATGTTTATTGGATTTTCTAAATTTTGTACACAGGCGTCTGATCTTCTTCTTCTTCTTCTTCTTCTTCTTTCCTTGCCAATTTGTTAAGGTTTTCTTTTTCTTTTTTTGTCCTTTTCTTGTTTCGGCTATGGTGCTTTGTTTTTGACACTTGTTTGGTGTCTTCAGAACAGTTTATACCAAAGAACATTTTGTTTTGCCGTGTCTTGTTTTCTTTCAATCAATCAAACCACAACATACCCTCAGTTTCCTCTTACAAATGTCTATTTGTTCTCAGTTTTCTTGGCTTCTTTGTCCTCTAACATCATTAAAGCAAAAAAAGATAAAAAGGCTTTCTGGGTTTTACTCGGTTGGGTTTCATCTTTACCTTGAAGTCTTGCTCATTTACATTTTTAATTTGCTTCCTAGGGAACTATTTTTCTTTTCGTGGGAAGTGAACATTCTTGTTATATGCCATGTTTTCTTAGTGTTTTTGCTGCTTTGAACTGATGATGGCTTAAGTTTTTTGCTTGAAGGTGTGGAGATGGTGAGGGGAAAGACTCAAATGAAGCGCATAGAGAATGCCACAAGCAGACAAGTCACATTCTCTAAGCGGCGAAATGGGTTGCTAAAGAAAGCTTTTGAACTATCAGTTCTTTGTGATGCTGAGGTTGCGCTGATAATTTTCTCTACCAGAGGCAAGCTCTATGAATTTGCAAGTTCTAGGTATGATTAGTTTCACATTTTTTTATTCACCTATTCTGTAGCATCCTAGCAATTTGTGCTTCCCACTTTGTCTAATGAATTGAACAATTTTCTTGTATGTGATCATGCCAGTTTTTTCCCCTTTCAATTAAGTATCAATTTCATTTTTTTTTTTGTTGTACTATATGGTATTTGCAACCTAGGGTTGTTTGATCTGACACAAACCCTCTGACGTACGCACAGTTAAACAAATACTACTACTATATACCAGTTAGTAGGTTATAAGATCTTAGACCTTAGATTTTTTTTTTTTGTTTGAATGAACGTTCAATGAGAAAGAAGGTGAAAAGCTGAATTTTTAGTTTAAAGTGTTCTTCAATGTTTCATACGATAGAGGATGCCTTCTGCACTCTACATTGTTCAACATGTGGGGTTTACAAGAATCAAATTAAACTATTTTTGGTGATTATTTCTGATAGGCGTACTGTACGATATGTTTTCATTAGGTACTGTTATTAACATTGGGGTATATACAGAGAGAGATTCTTGATTATGGCACTATTTTCTCTTTCAAGAATTTTGACTAATGTTTCTGACTAAGGCATGTGGAGAGATTCTTGAAGTGATCTGGAAATGGTTGTGCAATTTATAGGTATATTTGTTTTATCCATTATATGGGAGTCACACCCTCATCCCCATCCCCATCCCCATCCCGCCCTCATCCCCATATCCATCCAAATCTACTTAGGCTTCTTGATAGTATTGAGAAGTTAAAAAGGTTAATCGTCTCAAACTATCTATAGTTAAACTTTGTCTCCTATTATGCTGCTTGATTCAACTGCAATCACCACCATTTTGATCTTATGATATTAATCCTGCTAACCTGTTATTTGTAAAATGTAAATGAATTGATATTAATAATATCTAAAATTTTAACTTTGGTGGTCTCTTTTGCATGAAGGTGGTATGATGTAACATGGTTACATGGATAAAGAAAAGGATAGCTTAAAGTTATTCATGTAGCATGAGAAACTTCATAGTTAATAGTTAATCCTAATGTCACATCATTCCTTCTACAACACAACCAATGTAATAGTACAGCATAATTAACTTATTCACCTAATTGGCCATGATTATTGTTGACAATGTTTATGTTATGCTTTATAGATAATTTCATCTTTTGAAATTAATTGCAAAGGAAAAATAATTTCCCTTGATTATTTTTCTTTCACTAGTTTCTGGAAATGATTAAAGGTTGTTTAATTAAAGCAATGAAGATGTTTGCCTGACTCACCTTTGGTGCTATTCCATTTTGCGGCCAAAATCCATGGCAAAAACCTGTCAACCAAAGTTCTTTTTCTTTTCTGTTCACTGATATGTACGTTTTTTTTAAATTTTTTTGCATTGTAATTAATTAACTTCCCAAACACAAACTCAGTGCCTTGAATTTGGGAAAATGCTATAAGTACTCGCAAGTTTTTTTTTTTTTGTTATATGATGTATGTACATATATGACATGATATCATATGTAACTAATTATGTTAGGTTAGCAAATTTCATGTTATGACATGTAATCTGCAATGCCCTCGTAGCATTTGAATTTTTATTTGTGCTTTATTATTATTATTTTGTGGCAAAGCAGATTTTATTTGTAGAAGAATTTAGAAAAGAGTCCCCAACAAAGAAGGAAAGGTTGGATAGAAGTCCAATAATGTCACAACCCTAGCAAAGTAACCAAATTCCAATCCCATGCTATAAAACAAAACTAAAATTGTGTTTTCAAGTGTTAGTCCAATGCTCAGAACTTTGATCATTCCTACCTCTATAAGCAGCAAGCATCTTAGCTTTACCCTTTCCATATTTTATCCATGTAAGCTTTGCTTCAATCTTATGTACCTAAATGGATTGTTCTTCATGATTTCATTACCATGGTGTTGCCATCTCTTCTTGTGAAGTCCAATCATTTTTCTCATTCTCATTGATTTGTTCGCAATGGTTTTAATTTTAATTGACTTTGCATTCAGTTGCATCTTTTTTGTTCTTCCAAGCAACTGAGAGATAGCCTATAGGTGATGGCTCTAATTGGCATGTTTCCCTATAGGAAAAACAATGTACTTTTCATTTGATGTTTGTTATCCTATTCGTCGAAAATCAAAAGTCCAAGATTCAAATTTCCCTTTTACTTGAGTTTGCACGATAAAGAATATTATCAATAGAAAACCAAGAACTTGCTCAAATTTGGAAGCCATTTTAACATTCTCCTGTTTATGATATATATATATATATATATATATATATGAGATGAACAATAGTATATTAAAGGTTTAGATTTTTCCCCTCATGAATGCTACCAATGATGTTAAATGATGTTTTCTTGTAGCAATGTATCCTCTCTTTCAGGTTCATTCCCTATATGCTCTCAAACAGTTCTCTAAAATTTTAATTTCCTTCTTATTTTTTGAAAGACTAAAATTTTTCCAATAGTTGCTAAAGTGTTAATGTAGCCACAACATGGAATAGCCCTTTTTTTGCATCTCATGCATGCTGGAATTTGCTAATTTGATGGCCTATCTCGGGAGCAAAGAAAAAGAAAATCCCTTAGAGAAAAATAGGGACTACATCTTTAATTGATTTCAACAGATCCATGCTTTTGGTTAATGTATATTTTAAATTATATCAGGAAAGACTTATAATGCTACTACCAACAAAATCCCTTTGAAATAAATGAACATAACATAACACAATCAACTTTCAAATCAGTCAACGTTGCTCTTAAAATACATAATTATAATACTATTGATTTGGTTGTCTCTTATATTGTTTAGCCTTTTATTACATTTTTTTTTTCTGTAGAGCAAAAACAAAGATATTGTAGAGAATTTAAATATTTTTTGGTTAGGAATGAGCATATAGTTACAAGGTCCAACAATTCAAATATAATGCTTCAGCATAGACAAGAAAGTTAAAATTATAGTGCCATTACTCTTGAAAGTTACATTTTTAGCTTTGAATGTCTAATTTTTCAAATATATTTATACATGCACACAGAGACATAAACATATATATATATATATATTTTGCTTTTATATCTTAACATCAATCTTTTCCCCTTTCTAGTGGCACAAACAGTTATAGAAGTAATTTGTCTTAAGATAACATGATATATCTTAAAATAATATCTACAATTGTGTGATCTGTTTGTAAAGTGTTGAATTCTTAGTCCCGGGATTTATTCCTTACTACCTCAAGCATAAAAAAGGATTTATCTTAAGCTAGCATGAACTTAATTGCTTTTTGATGACTAAACACAATTTGTTTTGACATCTATACTGTACACCATTTATTTTGACCTTTCAGTTTCATCATCATATATTTATGAACTAATTTGTCTTGAGGGTTTTGTCATAAAAGAGAAATATTATTTTTCCCATCAATGGTGGTGGTCTAGATATTAGATATATATTTAGTGCTTGATTGGTTGTTAGATACATTTTATTTTACCCTAATTTTTCTCTCCTTTTGGCAATAAAAGTGCGAGGGGCTACTGTAATACGCAACCAGTCCCTTGCGGTTGGCACATCCAGTCCTATTTCACAGGCACGTTCAATTGTTGGCCTCACGGTCACAATTATTAGTGACATAAATTCCCAGGAACACTTAATAAGGTCCTGATTTTATCCTTGTCTCCACATGTTTTAGTTTGAACAAATGATGGCTGTTTTAGCTAAGGCAAGAGAGGGGAACCATAGGTGCCTGCTAGACTGTTTTGAGTAAACAAGACCATGCCTTTTTTGGAGCTTTTGGCCTGTTTTTTATTGCATTTATGCCTATATACATGTGCATGTGTACAAAAATTTTGAGGCAAAACTTTTTTAGTTTTTCCTAATGAAACTTGTTTACTCATTGTATAGTTTCTAATTGTAAGCTTTCAATACTTGGGGAGTAGTTTTTTCTCTGAAAGAAGAGTGCATTGATTGTATTGCTATTGGATTTTCATTCTTTAGCATGAAGGACACAATAGAACGTTACATGAGGCATATGAAGGATAATCGAACCAAGCCAACTGAACAAAACTTGCAGGTTAGGACTTCTCTAGCTTATCATTTTCTCTTTTCAAAGCCAAATATTCTTGGATTTGTTTGATGTCCTAATGGTGATTTTTCTCTAATAATAAGCCAGGAAAAATGTGTATTCCTTATCTCAACCCTTAGTTAGGAAACCAATGTAGTGACATCTTTCTTGCAGATTTTCCTTCTCCACATTTTTATACCTCAGTCAAGATGGACTGATATTGTCATATTGACAGCTTGAAACATACTAAGAATAAATGTGAAAACCCTACCTTTTGGCCAAGTAGCATGCAATTGTATGTATATCTTTTCCTCTATATGTGTGTGGGGTAGCTGGTTGGTACCCTCTATTGGAACAACATATGCCATAGAACATGCCAGTTTGGATTGGCTATATATGAGCTGTATTTATCTGTTTTAACACGGCATAACATCAGATTGATTGGGAGTTTTGTTCTTGTTTTTCTTGTGCACATTCACTGAAATGGCAGCATCTGAAGACTGAAGCAGAAAATATGATGAAGAAAATAGAGCTTCTTGAAGTTTCAAGACGGTATTAGGCCTAGTTTAAGATTCATTTTCCTCCAAATTTTACTGGTTAGTAATTTCTGATACATTGAATGCTGGACAAAGATTTTTGAAATTTGAGTCTGAAACGCCTCAGGAAACTACTAGGAGAGGGATTGGGTTCATGCACACTAGAAGAACTACAACAGATAGAACAACAGTTGGAAAGGAGCGTGAGCAGCATCAGAGCAAGAAAGGTTTACTATGGGAACCATTAATATTGAGTTTTCATAACATTCTATAAGATAAAAATTAAACATGTTAACCCTTGTCTACTTTTCAGACGCAAGTTTTCAAGGAACAGATAGAGCGATTGAAAGAAAAGGTAAGCCTTGGGGTTGAACATTCTGAATAATATGCTAAGACCTTAACATGAGTCAGAAAATTGTCACGCTGAGTGTAGTTATTCCGAGAGCTTCTAACAAAAAGATCAAGCTTCAAAACTATATATGAGGATGCAATGTTAGACAAGAAAGGAAAAGCTTATTGGTTGGGACTATGGAAGAAAAGGAAAAGAGAGTTTGTGTGGCGTCAAATTCATGTCTGAAATGAAACTAATTCCTCCTTGCCTCTCAAGTCGTCCGGCAATCAACATAGAATCAGAACATAGTGTGTGTGTGTATATATATATATACATATATATATATTTATATGTGTATATATTAGTATCTTAGAATGAGTGACCAACTGATTGCTAACAGCCGTCTTAATTTTTTGGCCAAAACTCAGGAAAAAGTCCTAGCTGCCGAAAATGCAAAGCTTTGTGAAAAGGTAAGCCTTTGCTATCTTCCTTTTGACAGGAAAATGGGAAGGAATTTGGATAGATTACAAGTTTCCTATTGACATTGTTTCATTGATATCGTTGATGCAACTGAAAAAACCATGTCTTGTTAATTATTCCTCTCTCAGTATGGTATGAAGCAATGGAAAAGATCAAATGAGCAGAAAGAGAATGTACCATATGATGAAAGCAGTCCAAGCTCGGACGTGGAGACTGAATTGTTCATCGGACCACCAGAAGGGAGAACAAAACGCTTCCTGCAACCGAACTGATTGATGACAACATATCCCATGCCGTGCAAATATGAATACAAGGCAGAACACCTACTAAGCATCCAGTTTGTTGCATTAGTTTCAAATAAAATTCATACCAGCAATGGTATGGTAAGCGTAAAATTAAACTACCATGAGTAGGACCAAAGATTTGCTATATAAATATCCTTATCGTGGAGCATGTTACATGTCATTAGAATGCTCCAATATTCTCTGAACCTAGTTATTTTTGAGCGAATTGATTAGCAGGTTGATCAGCAAATGTTTTTCTAAAAGGAAATAAACTTATACTAACGTCCAACCTTTATTTTAAACTGCCATTTAACTAACTTGAATTTTTTACTGGATCAAACCAATGCCGGTTACCACGCCAGATAGTTTAAAAGTTACTGATAATTAGTTAAGATTGTAGATATTATATTTAGTTCGGAGTTAAAACTAATTGGATTCTGATCAAATTTAAGCTCAATTGTTTAATATTTCACAAATTTTTTAATATTTTGTAGGTCTTGTATATTTATTTAATTTTTTAATATTTTAGTTTTTTATTTATTTGATTTTAAATTTTTATCATAAATTATGTCAATAAAATTTGTGGAATAATTTAAACACTAATTAACGATGATTTTGATAATTAAAATTAAAACATGATAATTTTAAATATTAAAACAAGGATGAAAAGAAATCAAAAGAATTAAAGTCATATTTAATTTGAAAAATTTTAAGGGATTTTGAAAATTAAAAAAAAAAAGAATTTTAAAAATTAATTAAATTAGTTTTAAAGAGAATAAAGAGAATCAATTTTAGAACATAATTAGATCTGTAATTTTTTTTATTCAATTTTTAAAATTTCTAGTAAAAGATCCTAAATAAATACTGATCAACCACACACACAAGAAAAAAAATGAAAAAAAAGATTATACAAAAACTTTTGAGAGAAAAGAGAGAAATTAGTTTAATAATCAAGAGGTTTCAAGTTATAGGCTTAATTTCTTTAGATTTTTTGAAATTAAGATTTGATGTTTTGAGGTTTGAATTTGTAGGATTTTGCATTCTATGAATTTTTGGATATAGTATTCTGGACAATTTGTTGGATTTTTGAAAAATTCTTTGAATTTTTCGACAATGAGTTAAAGCTTCTAGCATCAATGTCAAAGAATCTCGTTGGATTCTAAAAATTTTTTGCCAGCTTCTAGGATTTATTTATCGATTTTTGGGCACTTATAAATCAGTTACAGAGAAGACAAAAGAATAACTATTTTAGAAAAAGAGACATATTCAAGCGCTTCTGAAAAAAACCCTAAAATTTGAGTTTTTATAATAATCCAATACGACGTTGTTTTCAAACTTTTAAAGGCACCCAAGTCCACGTGTTTTATTATATCCACATCCGACCATCAACACAACTCGATTTTGACTCGTTCTTTGTTTGTTACACAAAGCCAAGCCATTCTAGAAGTCGAGTTTCAAGCTGTTCAAGTTGATTTTTATCGGTAACTACTCTTTTCAGCCGTCACGTCAAGCCAATTGCAAATAATTTGGCTTTTCTTTATATGTTATTTTATTTGCTTATTTATTCATTTATTTATTTGTCTATTATTTTTAGTATTCTTACAAAAAAAATATTTTTATATAGCAAAATAAAATTTTAAATAAAACCCTTACCAACATATTGAAAGGCAATTATTTTTTAAAAAATAAGATTTTACTAACATATTAAAAATTTTATAATTTTATTTATTTAAAAAAATATATAAATAAAAAGCATTACTAACAGATTGAAGGGCCAATGTTTTTTTAAAATAAAGTTTTAGCAACGTATTAGAAAGCATTATAATTTATTAAAAGATTAAGTTTTCAAAAAAATAATAAAATAATATTTCCCATCTTTTTGCATAAAATCCTACCAACACATTGAAAGATAATTTTCAACATAAAGTTTTACCAATAAATTAGAGGACATTTTTTACTATAAACCTGATTTATAGATATTTATTTTTAGAAGTAAAATTAATTAATTAGATGATGAAGCCTCTTCAAAGCATGACAAATAATCTCCTTGAATACTCCGAAGGTGAAAAAATAGTCTTAAATTATTATCAATATATTGGAGTAAATTTAGGAAATTTTCAATATTAAAATTAGTTGGTAAATTAAAAATATATTTTAAAGCTTAGATAATTTGAAATCAAACTAGTACCATTTTTTGGTTGAGAGCTATGAGGGTGCTATAACCATCCTCATGTGTAACTGCACTTCTAAACTTAAATATGAATTAGTAGACTAGAATTTACTATTTAAAAATACCTAAGTTAATTTTGAGATTTTTCTTTAAATGAGATAGATTCAGTTAGGTGACCAATCATATCTAAACAAAAAAGATTGGTCGTAACTCCTTTAGTTTATGTCAGTAGTAGGTCCACGGATCTATACGTTATAACAGTTTGACGACTCTACTAGGGACATCGAGAGTTAGGCCAGTAAATAATTTCTTGTTATCTAAGCCTGACCTAATAAATTTAAGATTTTTTTCTCTTGCTTGTATTTATTTATTTGTTTATTTATTTTATATATTTGTCATTCATTTGTATATATATAACATGAGCTCTACACCCAATTTTTGTCCTTTATGAGGGAGTAAAGTACCTACGTCTTCATAAGATTTCATGCTTTCGCATGGGCTTGCGAAAAACTCTTACTCAAGTTGAACCATTTCCGTTTGTAATCTATAATGGTGAGGATTGGGGTGCTTCACTAGTATATGATAGACAATGATGTGAAAAATAATTTGAGAACTTGTGGAGTTAACCCCAACCCACATATAATGAGCCATAATAAACTTAACCCATACATAGAGCTAGGTCCTTCCTTTTTATAAAAATAATCCAAATTAGGTCACATACCTTTTGAGTTATACACTAACTTGTTTTTTTTTTTTTTCCTTTATATTGGATGCTAACTTTGTTCTTGTTTGTTATTTCTTAAAGTTTGCAATTATTTATTTATTTATTATTTGTTTGTTTGTTTATTTTCATTCATTTTATGCATCTCATTCATTTATATATCATCATCATTCATTCATCATGTCATTGCATAATAGAAACCTTTTGCTTACTTTAGGCAGTAATTCAAAAGATATGGATGATCAATTAAAAGCACGAATCCAAGCCTTAGAACTCAACCAAGAGGAATTTGGGTGTGACTTGCAAAAAATAAAAATGCAACTTACCAAGTTGGTAGAAAGGGTTGAAAATCTTGAGGTGGCCTATTCTCAAGAATCTTCATCAACTTCAAACCATATGTGCATTAAACAACCATGCTATCAGGATAAAAAAATCACTTACAATACTAATGTCGATCTAAGTCATGCCAATGCATCCGGTAGCCTAAGAAAAGACTAAGTCAAAGAAAAAATGAAAGAGATAAAGCCTTCTAACCTTGTGCCGACTTTGCATATTAGCCCAAATCCAAATCCCCAACTAGTTATTCCTAAACAACCTCTTTTGGCATTCCAAACAAGACTTGTTCCTATTCAACCTCCACAGATTGGTCTATACCTATATATCTTTCTGGTTATGAATTATGCTTTTCAAAACCCTATGCTTATCAACCCATCTAGCAACCAAGTTTCTCGTTAAATCCATGGGCATATACACCTAATTCTACTATAATATTTGCACCTCTAAGTCAAATAGCTTTTCAACCCAAAAAATTATTGAGTAAAAAAAAAACAAAAGAGCTTTCATTGATCAAATCCTTGTGACTTACACTAAATTATTCCCACTACTTCCAAAAATTATCTAATCACATCAATTCCTCAAAAGTCACTAAAACCTCTTTATCTTAAATAGTTTGATGTTGAAAGGAATATGGGCATTTGATATAAAATTACCTTACTTTCAAACATAAGGTGCAAGGTTTAATTAAAGCTGATGCGTTGATTTTTTGGGATAAATGAGAGCCCAAGATTATTAAGAGGTTATTGTCTAATCATAGCAATTGAAGAACTTATCAACGATAGTACCTAGATTTTAAAGCTGAAGGATAGAATCATGCAATAGATTTTTATAAATGTTTTTAAGTTGTTCTTGTAAAAAAAATTTTTAATTTTTAATTAAAGATTTTTTTCTTTCTTTCTTTCTTATTATGTGATGGCATTCAATGCATGTATGCATCCATCCATTCATTCATATATAAATTTTTTTCTTTTTTTTACATAAATTTATAGTAGATATTATCCTAATTCTACATTGTGGTAGTAAAGGTTCAAGAGCTTGATCATTAAGGTAATCTATTTGCCACTCATTGAGTCAGAACAACATAGTCTAATTGAAAATTTGAGAAAGCTTAAGATAAAATGAGAGGAGATTTGTCCCAGATAATGAAAATGTTGAAAATTTTAAATAGGGAGAAAAAAAATGGAGGAAGCCTGTGTACAAGCATTTTAAGGGGCACAATCACAACAAGCATCATTTTTTAAGGTATATTCTTATCTTAAAATACCTTCAGTAGCCATACAAAGAAAGCTTTAGGGATATACTATTTCTGATGGAGATAAATTTGATCCAACCTAAGTCCCTGACGATTCTGAAGAGTTAGAAAGATTGAAGAAAAGTTCATTTGAAGCAACAGAAGATTCAAATGCTTAAAAAAGATGGATCTCATAGAGGAAAAGCTTTAAACTATCAAAAGAATAGTTTTTTATGGACCTATGGATGTATCTGAGCTTTGCTTGGTGCCATATGTGATTGTCTTACCCAAGTTCAAAGTCTTAGAATTTGAAAAATATGATGAAACTAATTGTCTAATGACCTATGTTACTATGTACTATAGAAAGATGGTTGTTCATGCTTGTGATGACAAACTTTTGATTTTTTTATGAGATCTGCTGCTAGATGGTATGTTCAATTAGATAGAACTCAAATCACTTCGTGAAAGAAATTGGCTAAAGCATTCATAACTCAGTACAAACACATTGTAAAGTTAACCCCAGATCCATTATCTTTACAAAGCATGAAGAAAAAATATGTTGAAAGCTTCAAAGAATATACTCAAAGGTGGAAAGGACACCGTTACCTAGGTTCAACCTCTTTTAATAGAAAAAAAACTACTATCTTATTTGTCAACACTCTTAAAACTCCATACTATGAAAAAATGATTGAAAATGAAATAAAAAATTTTACTAACATGGTCATATTAGGGAAGATAATATAGAATATCATAAAAAGTGAGAAGCTTAAAGAAGATGATGTATATGGCGTGAAAGATGTGAGTGTATCTAGAATGAAAAGAGAAAATGTTCAAGCTAAGATGTATAAATGGAAATAGGTTAAAGATTTTATCCTACACTATTTTTATTCTAT